TGCAGACAATGTGTGGGTGACCGCTCGAAGAATCTGAGTTAGTTTCTGTGAGTAATGGAGGCGACCTTCTTTTCTGGCTTTATAGCCTTAGGCGGCCCCACACCCATCTTCAGTGAACACACCTGAAAATGGAGTAATAAACGTCTCAAGGAAGAGTTGTGGGCACTTGCCCGTGTTCTCAGCCCTCTAGAGGAAGAGGAGGGAGAACCGACAGTTCAAGGCCAGCCTGGGCTACTCAGTAAGACCCTGTCAACACCAAGACACAGCAGAATTCCTCTGCCTGTCTGCGAGCGGCTTTTCCAGGCTTTTCTGAGCCTAGAGCTGTTCAGTCAGGGCCTTGCTAATTCCTGCTTTCCTTAGGGTACAGAGGCATAAGCAATGCCAGATCTCCAGGGCATTCAAAGGAAAGTGACGACCGTGGAGGCGTGGCAGGGCTTGACTGAGCCATTGACGCGGTCACAGCAAACCCTCCCATTCTTTTTCTTCTGGAGTCAAGAGTTTTCTGTGCTCCGCACACAAAGTCAGCACGCAATTGTACATGTTTACAGGGCATTAGCATGTGCACAGACCTTGTGTAATGCAAGCAAATGCTTACCATTTCTTTCCCAGGAGGGCTTTCTAAATCCTTTGGTTTTTGTTTGATTTTGTTTGGAGATAGGGTCTCTTACGACCCAGGGTAGCCTCGGACTTGCTCTGAAACCAGTGTGGCCTTGAGCTCCTGATCCTCCTGCCTCCACTGCCGCAGTCCTGGGACTACAGGAGTTTGCCGTTTATGTCCAGCGCAAACTCCTTTGTCTAAATTTTTATTTTGAGATAAGGACTCGTTTCATTCAATCTGGCCTTAAAATACTGGGCTCACTGGGTGTAGTGGCATAAGCCTCCTCTAATCTCTGCATTTTGGAAGTGTTGAAAGCTATCCTTGTCTATATATGGCATTTAAAACTATATATACACTGGGCGGTGGTGGTGCACACCTTTAATCCCAGCACTTTCAAGAAGGTAGGTTCTAGAGATAGGCTACCTGTGTTAGTTTAAGAGCCTAGGGAAGGGTCTGGTGTGGTCTCCAGCACACAGATAGAATAGAAGTCATTTGGGCTGTTATACTGATAATGTAAGGGTCATTCAGACTACTAGTCACCTCTGTGCTGTTGTAGGACCTTATCAAGGCCAGGCCCAACAGATGATGCCCATCACCAGGCTGTTAATCACCCTCAATTCCCAGCCTTCTGAACTGAAATATCCGGGCATTCCTTTTAGAGAACCCCCACCCCCACCCCGTGCTTAACATTCCTGGTTTCCCTGGTGACTTGTGAGTCCAAAGACCTTTGTGCTCCCAACAGGAACTGTTCCAGATCCCTCCTGAATCCAGGCCATTCACACTGGTTTTTAGTGTCTTGTGCCCTGGAACTCAGCCAAGAGGACAAACAAAATTTAAACCTCACCTTTGAGGTGTCCATGTCACAACTGCTGTGCCCCTTGGCTGTGGAAGAAGCCAGGTAGCTCAGTGGATTTTCTAAAAAGGGTTTTCATTACCTATAATTATGTGTACTTGTATTTCCGCCCCCTGCCACCATGTGTCTGCATGAGAGAGAGAGAGAGAGAGAGAGAGAGAGAGAGAGAGAGAGAGAGAGAGAGAGAGAGAGAGAGAGAGAGAGAGAGAGAGAGAGAGAGAGAGAGAGAGAGAGAGAGAGAGAGAGAGAGAGAGAGCACATGGACAGCAAGTATGTATAGTAAGTGCCCACAGAAGCCAGCAGCAATGGTTCTCCCTGGAGCTAAGGTGGTGGTTGTAAGTCACCTGATGGGGGTGCTGGGAAACAGGTTTGGGTCCTCATACTGCTGAGCCTGTCCCCTCCAGTCAGCCATTAACTCGTGTGTGTGTGTGTGTGTGTGTGTGTGTGTGTGTGTGTGTCCCACAGTGGACTCTTGACGTTGACCCCAAACGAGGATGGCTAGTCTTTGGTTGACAGTCTCTGGAGACCAGTGCACACTGACTGGTCTTTTCCTTCTAGTACGGATACTTTCACGGCAGCGGAAGGCACCTGGTGGCTAGTTACAACTGAATTGCTTGGGGTCATTCTGCTCACCGGTTCAGAATAGTGTGTGGACGTGCAGGTGGGAAGCCTGGCCATCCTCGCTCCACCCCAGGGGGCCCTCAGAGCTTCTAACATGAATTTGGACTGGTGCTGGGAGTCACATCAGCCTAGTCCGTCACCCTGCGTGCCCGACCTCTCTTCTTCGTTCCGAAGGTTTAACTCCTAAGGTGAAATTCAGGATCATCCTTGGAGTCTCTGTCTACAAGGACCCAGGCACACCGCACACTCACGTTGGTACTGTCCTACTGGGTCCCTTCAAAGAGGCATCTCAAGTGGTTCTTTGCTCAGAGAAACGAGACACTTTTCATTAAAGGATAGTGGAGTCTATTTCAGATGTGAATTTCACAGGAAAGCATATTTCACTACTGGGGGTGGATGACTATGCCACGGTTAGTTTTGCTCTGGTCAATCAGCCCGGAACATATTACAGGAGCCACAGGGATCTAGGGTTGATTCTGGATTTCCTCACTCGCTAGTCCTGACTATAAACAAGATACTCATTCACTCACTTCTCACTGTCTTCCTTGCTTTTGTTTTGATTTCTTGAGAAAGGGTGAACTACGTAGCCCAGGCTCATCAGAATTCCCCGTGTAGCCCAGACTGGCCCGATTTCATCAGCCTCTTGTTTCTAACTCCCAAATGCTGGAGTCGTCATCTAAGTTGGAAAAACTGGGAGAGCAGCAATGTTTCTTGGCTAATTGCAAAATATTCAACATTCCTCACAGGCAGCTTGGTGAATTATAAAGAGATCGGGGATCTGGGTGTGCCTAGGGGTTAAAGTAGTGCATGAAAGGCAAGCATGGTTGCTAGTGTAGCCACACAGCGAGTGTTCTCTTGATTTTGCTCTTATTCACATGAAGCCATGCTGTGGGATCCTGCTGACCCCAAGGACATGATGGGATTACATAAGGACCCTCCTCTGGGGGAGGGATGTCTCCCTACAGACCCGACAAGATGTCTGGGTAACAGTTGGGACGCATCAGTCACTGAAACTTCCGTGATGTATTTATTCCAGTTTCCTAAGAAATAGGCTGACACTCTAAGCAGAAGCCTGTGAACCCTGGCTGGGCAGACGTTAAACTTCCTAAATGCTGTAGACACCCGGGGCTGGTAAGAAACCCCAGGTCTGCTGAGGGCTTCTGTTATTGGTGCATTGCTATGGATACAGCACAAAGACAGGCATCAGTAACACGGACAGGATGCAGGGATTTAAGGCAGCCAATGACAGGGACCATTCTCTTTGAATGTATTATTCTTGGAAAACTTTTGCAAAATATTTGGGACATGAGGCACACACGATGCTGAGAACATGGACTTTGGGTGGTTCACGCCACACTCCTGACAGGCAGCCTGGGGAAGTTCTGAGAGGTGCCCTGCAATGGCGTGTGTGTGTGTATGTGTGTGTGTGTGTCTCCCTCGGTCTCTTTCTTCCTCTTCCCTTCCTTCTCTCTCTTCTGTGTAGGTCTGACTGTCCTGGAATTCACTTTGTAGACCAGGTGGCTTCTGACTCAGGGATTCACTTGTCTCTGCCTCCCAGGTGCTGGGATTAAAGGTGTGCACCACCATGCCATGCTTTGGGTGTAATGAACATTCTTCCCACCAGCCTGGTCCCAGAGTCACATCAGTCCCAAATGAACATGCAGGATGCTATATTAATTATGAAACTGTTGACTGTTTGCTATGGTTTCTTGTTGGCCAGCTCTGACTTAATTATTTACTCATAACTGCTAATCTGAGTATTTCCATGTGGTCTTCTCTTACCTAAGAAAGGGTCCGGACCCCCCTTTTTTTTTTTTTTTTTTTTTTTGGTTTCTCGAGACAGGGTTTCTCTGTGGCTTTGGAGGCTGTCCTGGAACTCACTCTGTAGACCAGGCTGGTCTCGAACTCAGAGATCTGCCTGCCTCTGCCTCCCGAGTGCTGGGATTGTGCCACCAACACCCGGCGGGTCCGGACCTCTTACTCCTCTTGCATCCTAAATGGTGACTGACTGTGCCTCCGTTTCCCAGAATCCTCCACCTCTCCTAGTCCCACCTATCTTGCTTCCCTATTGGTCAACCGTGCTTTATTCATCCACCAATAAGACAAGCACACACACAGAAGAGCATCCCCATCATATGGGCTTTTTGGTTTTTTAATTGCCCTTCACAAGAGGGTATCAGTTGGCTCTCGTCTTCAAGGCAGATTTGTCCACTCTCTAAGGGAGCAGCGTGGGATGTGAACAGCTTAGGTCTTCTTAGCAAATTTTCAAGAATGAAATGATAATCAGACAGACACTTAGAGACCTTCCTGAAGTGCCAATGTTAAACCACGGCTGACATATGACAACACAACAGGGCCTATCCATTACAAATACATTACTCTGTTTAAATTTCCTCTTTTTTCGAGACAGGGTTTCTCTGTGTAGCTTTGGAGCCTATCCTGGCACTCGCTCTGTAGACCAGGCTGGCCTTGAATTCTCAGAAGTCCGCCTGCCTCTGCCTCCCTAGTGGTGGGATTAAAGGCGTGCGCCACCAACACACATTAGGCCAGGCGGTGGCGGCCTTTAGTTCCAGCACTCAGGAGGCAGAGGCAGGTGGATTTCTATGAGTTCGAGATCATCCTGGTCTACAAGAGCCAGTTCTAGGACAACCTCCAAAGACACAGAGAAACCCTGTCTTGAAAAACCAAAACACAAAACAAAACAAAAACACACATTAATAATGTATGTCTGGGGGCTGGAGAGATGGCTCAGAGGTTAAGAGCACTGACTGCTCTTCCAGGGGTCCTGAGTTCAATTCCCAGCAACCACATGATGGCTCACAACCATCTACAATTCAATCTCATGCCCTCTTCTGGTGTGTAGGCAGAACACTGTATACGTAATAAATAAATAAATCTTTAAAAAATGTATGTCAACAGCACTGTCACTCAAAGGTGCAAAACCCTGCTCATTGCCTTTTGCTCAGAAGGGCAAACAGTACAGCAACAAAAGATTGAACAGGGCTTTGTTGTATAAACACACACACACAGACACACACACGTTAACATTCTTTGAATGTTAACTTGAAAATTGAATGAAAATGAGTGTCCTGTTGTCACTGACTCTCAGAGGGTCACTGTGCACCACCTGTTTCTTGGGAAGTACAGATTCATGCATATCTGTCTGTCCTTTTGGAGGGCTCTGCCTCTTCTTGATAGGCTCATTTTATTCCCAGTAGCATCAAAGGAAAAGGAAATGAATCATGACTGTCCTGGGTAAATAATCCCAGGTCAATGAACAAGCATTGGACTCTCAGGAATTGAAGCAGGAAGTTCTTGAAGACATGGTTCTTTTAAAATATTCTTAGAGCCCAGCGGCGGTGGTGCACGCCTTTGATCCCAGCACCTGGGAGGCAGAGGCAGGCGGATCTCTGTGAGTTCGAGACCAGCCTGGTCTACCGAGTGAGTTCCAGGATAGCCTCCAAAGCTACACAGAGAAACCCTGTCTCAAAACACCAAAAACAAACAAACAAACAAACAAACAAACAAACAAAAAAACCTGTACAAGCCCAAACAGACAGACTCTCAGCAGAGAAGGTGAGCACAAAATCCCACCACCTGCGGAAGAGCCGTTGGCATCTGATAGCTCCAGGGCGAGTTTTCTTTACTGATTTGACCCTTGGTTGGTAGAATGCACGTCAGGGCCAGGCCAAGACAAGCTGGGCAAAGCAAAATGGGTTTGATGGGGGTTGGAGGATTAGAAAATTCAAGGTTGAGTGGGAAGGATTGGGGGGGAGTGAAGAAGGTGGTTATGGGAGGAGTTGGGGGCGGGAACGTGTTCAAGAAGCATTGTGTGAAATTCTCAGAGAATCGGTAAGAGTGTTAAGACATTTGACCGTCTCACACAGGAACGTAATGGAGTTTGGTTGTGTTCAGCCACTGGCCTCCCTCCTCCTGTTTTCATATCTTTGTCTTGGCGGCGGCTACCCCACTGACCAGCGCCATACTTCCTCTCTAGCGTTCATTAGCTTCCCACAGTCCCTTCACGGGGAGCGTGGGGCATCATTTGCCCTCCCATGTGCGTGATGAAACAGGCGATGGGTTCCGATCTCGAGCATGTCACTGACTGCAGCTGCAATGAATTCACGGATGCAACGTCACGTCTGGAAGACCCTGCTCTTCTCCCCATCCTCTGGCTGCTCCGTTCTTGACAGCTTGTTTGGAGGTTCTAGCAGGGGGAATGTACCTTTGACTGAAGAATGTCTCAGTTTCATTTCTATTGCTGTTAAGAGACACCATGACAAAGGCAGCTTATAAAAGAAAATATTTAATTTGGGGACTCGCTGTCCCAGAAGGTTGAAATCCAAAATCATGAGGCAGAGAACATGGAGCAGTAGCTGAGAGCTTAGATGTTAAGATGACAACAATAGGCAGAGAAAGACAGAGAGAGAGGGAGGGAGGATGATAATTGATAATGGCATGTGTAGGAACCCATATTTGGGGGAGGGGCTTCAGTCAGATCTAGCCAATTAAGAGTAACCGTACTTTTAAACCCAATCTCTTGTTATCTAGGTAAGACACCCACACCTTAGACCAAGCATCCTTCAGTAGCCACGGCTTAGATCTTTAGGTCTTATGACCTTAACCTTGAAAGAGTAAGGATAGTTTTGAACTCTCTGACCTTAAGTCAATATGAAGCAGAGCTGTTTCTATGGGCCCTGACGGGCATGGGCTTTTTAAACTTCAAAGCCAACCCCCAGCAGCACACCTCCTTCAACAAGGCCAGACTTCCTAATCCTTCCCAAATAGTTCCACCAACCAGGAACCAAGCATCCAAATGTGTGAGCCTATGGGAGTCATTCTCATTCAAGCTACCACACTGACCTTCTTTTATTCCGGAAAGGTCTCCTTCTTCTGTCAAGAGTACAGCTTAGAGAGGGACACACGTGGGGCTACAAGGAAGGTTACACTGTCCTAACCAGCCAGATCAGTTGAATACAACCAATGGCAGACGTAAAAACCAGATGACCCTCACAACCACGGCTCTTCCATTCTGCCCCTTTTCCTTGAGCGTGTCGGAGAGGGTCATACAGACGTCCTGTTCAAGGCCAAGAGTTCCACTGCCTTTTATTCTCAGTACTTTGACCAGTTGTTTCCACTGAAAACGTTGTATGGGAGTCTATATCTTGGGGACGGGCACTCGTAACGCCACATGGGGCATTTTATTACAGAGCTCCTGTCCATAAAAGGTGACATTCCGTTTCCTCTCTTCCATCTCACTAGGGACTGCCTGTTTTGCATATTTAACCTCCCCCTTAACTATAGGGGGTGGGTGGGAAGGAGCTAAGAAGGTTAGGGAGGGAAGCTGGACTTCTCCAAGTGTACTTTCTGGTGTCGTTCTGCCTTTGGGACTTCATCAGCCTCGTGTGTATCAAGAATGCATTACAGAGAAAAGAAGGCCAGGGAAGAGAAAAACCTAAAAGGCAATTCCGATTACCAAACCAACTTGAAACCGGCTGAATATCAACAGTGTATGGGGCTGAATATCAACAGTGTATCGAGAAGAAACAAAAAGTGCTCCGATGTAAGTAAGCATCAGCACTGCAAAGGCAGCTGCTGTTTGCAGTAATACGGACTGAACGTAGTGCACTTCCCGAACTGTATGGAATGAGTCAGTGTAGTGATGTTGAAACCAGGGTTCTCCAGTTGAACTTGGGAGACACCCAGGGAAGAACCCTGTGGCCCTGCTCTGGAATGACAGGTCTCTATCAGTTCAGGAGTTGTAAAAAACCTTTTCCTGGCTGGGCATGGTGTTGTGCATCTTTAATCCCGGCACAAGGGAGGCAGAGACGTGAGGATCTCTGCAAATTCAAGGTCAGACTGGTCTACATGTGGAATTTCTGGACAGTCAGGGCTACATAGAGGCTGTCAAAAGATCAAAGAAACAAACAAATAAAAAACCTCTTTTCTCCTCACTTCTGTCTACTACATGATTCTGACAAGCAGTATATTAGATGCTACTGCTACTGTGTTAAGAGGGCCACCCTCACAACTATCATATTCTAAGTAGGGAATGAGACTAGAACGTACTTTATAGACATCACTGCTTGGGCTCTCCATGCATCAGTCTGCATTAATTCCTAGCATTCTGCCCCCAGTTCGAGATGTCTTCAGTGTAGGGAGGTGATGAGGAATTTGAATTACTGCCTTAGTTTAGGAACCCATGCATTTTTCTTGTGCCTGTTTCTTTTGTTTGTTTTGTTTTTTGAGCTCTGGCTGTCCTGGAACTCACTAAGTAGACCAGGCTGGTCTTGAACTCACAGAGATCCTCCAGCAAGTGCTAAGATTTGAGATGTGGCACTACCTTTACTTAAAGGCACTGTTTAAGGTTTATCATGGAGGATTGAGCCAACTGGCTGAGCTAGCCAGCAACCTTGATAGGAATGTTCTTAGTTGCCTCAGGGACAAGCAGGGACAATGGTTTCCTTGAGTTGTACAGCCGGATGTGGCGGTGCATGCCTGTAGGCCTGGCACTCTGGAGGCTGAGGCAGAAGACTGTTGTGAGTTCAAACCCAACCATAGTTACAGAGGCAGACCCTATCAAATCCCACCCCACCTCCTGCCGGGGGTGGAGGGAAAAAGGCTTTGTGTGGCCTCCATCCTCCTGATGGGATCCGTCCTCCCCATGCTGGGATGTAGCTGCCCAAGTACAGACCAAGTCCTGCTCTGCAGAAGAGTGGGTGCCTTTCTTGAAGGATGCAAAACTTTAGAATCCAAATTCCCGGACTGTGACTAGTGTTCTGGAACAAATTTTCTCTTCAGGAAGAGGAAGCAAAGCGAAGTGTTGACAGCAGCGTGCAACCAAAACCAACTGGGCTACAAATATCTGCTTCCTAAATGTGACCCTCGAATCACAAAATACGAGCAGGAAAGGCAGGAGACGCATTTGCAAAAAACTCATCTCCACTATCAACAGCTCCAGAGTCCACAACATTTTGGGATGAGTCTTCACTTGGGTGAGGTATTTCTCATAAACATTTGCCAACACATACAAGCGGCCTCACCATGCCACTGAAGGAAAAAGGGGAATTGCCCTGGGAACAGTTGGTCCTCCAGGGAAAGACCTGCAAAAACTCCTAGAGTTAACGGGCCATCCTGCTGTGGTTAGGGAGCAGAAGAGCAAGTGACCCCTCCCAACCGGTTAGCACTAATCAGGTATACACATTGAGTGGGGAGTCAGAAGCAGCGGGCTGGATAACCCTTGGGCGAGTGTCACCAGGACAGGGGTGGTGGCGTGACTAAGCCAGAGCTGGACAGAGAATGACTGAGCAGGGATGTGTGAGAGAGGCCAGGCTTCCCAGGGAGGACCCACAGGGCCGGGTGGCGCTCTTCTGTTGCTCAGTGTGCTGAACGGTCTCCTCGGTTTTCACATGGTCACACGTGGAGCACAGATGGGTTTGAGCTTCTGTTGGCACCCCTGATGGTGTAGGGCAGGGGCCTGAGTACCAGCAGGCAAGGAGAGCGAAGGGTGGCTCCAAGGGAAGGAGCAACCCAGCAGAGGCATTAGTTCCCTGAATACTCAGCCACAAGCTGGGCAGGGTCACCTCCTCTGGCTTTCAGTGTGGGGGGGAGGGCAATCCCTAATGCTCTAGTCATGGGCTCAGCAGGTACCTCTGGTACTTGTTTTTTAAGATTTATTTATTATGTATGCAATGTTCAGCCTGCAATATCCCTGCAGGTCAGAAGAGGGCACCAGACTTCATTAAGATGGTTGTGAGCCACCATGTGGTTGCTGGGAATTGAACTCAGGACCTCTGGAAGAACCGGCAGCTCTTAACTCCTGAGCCATCTCTCCAGCCCACGAAGAGAGTGCACTTGTTTTGTTTTCATCTTTTTCTGTAGCTGGAGAAATGGAAACGGGGGCTGTGAGAGGATGGATAAGATCCTGCCTCGTGATGCCTAATAAATGCTTGTGTAACCATTGTTATCTGGAAGTCTTACTTTATCTTGGTCCAGAATCATGGGGAAATGTGGGGGTGGAAAGCTATCAGAGGGGAGGCAGTGTTAATCAGAAGGGAGAGTAAAGGTGAAGCCACAAAAAAAATTTTAGTTTGTGCCTTAGCCAAAGGACACAAAAAGAAAAGTGCCTCAGCCAAGGACCTCAGGAAAGGGGCCCAAGGTAAAGCTTCTCCAAGCAGACAATCTGCAGAGCTGGGAGGCAGGGTCCTTATTTCTTTCTTAAGCAACAACTGGTCTACCAAGGTTGGTAAGTGTACCCAAATGAGTGTAAGTAGAAGTCTTAGACCAGTTTCTATGACGGACACTGCCTAGAACAGAGGGGTCATCATAGAAACCAGGACCCACAGAAAGGAGAGCTTGGAAAAGGGGAAACTTCCATACCTCCTTTAATTGTGTTTTTGGCGCTTTGGTCTGTAAGCAATCAGGATGGAAAGAGAAGCTAAGCCAAAGAGGAAAGTCTGTAGGAACCAGAGGAGCCGGGCCTTGCAGGCTGTGATTCCTTTATACCTGGGGGGGGAAAAGCCAAATTTAAACAATAGGATTTTAACGTTGGTGCCAGGGGATTATCGTATTCTACTTTTAGTTCTATTTAGAATTCTGAGGTGCAATGCATGAGCTTCTGGTTTGGGGGCTTTTAACTTGCATCGAACCACAGAGCCATCTGAGGAGCTTTAGGAGAGAACTATATATCTGTGTCTGAAGCAAGGGCCTAGCAGATCACAGTCTCTGGAAACCAGGTGTGTATATTTCAAAACAACTCCTCGTGATTCTGTTTTGAAACTGGATTGAAAACTGCCACCCCAGACCAATAACTCTGTTCTTTTGCAAACTAGAGGAGAGGAGACTCCTAGCCATTTGTCCTAGTCAGTCAGACACAAAAGTCTCTCAACCAAATAATTAATTAGCCAACACAAGCAAACTACATTCACTCATCAAACATTTACCGAATACTTCTGCTGCAGGCTCAGTATTTGGTATAGGGATTCAGGCTGCACTTGAGCCTGTTCTCAGCCTCCAAGGATACGAATTATTTAGACATGGCAGCTCATGACTTAGATAAGCTACCAAGATAAAAGTGAGACTTTCCTACTACTACACAGTTCCTGTTACAAAGACTTACTTGCATAACACCAAGGCATATAAGGACTCTCCCACATGAATCAGCCAAGCAAGCCAATACCTGAAACAACAACAACAAAAAAATTTTTTTTTAGTTTAAGGTTATAGTCATTTGCTAATTAACTCTAACACAGCAACTTTAAAAAGAAAGGCATCTCAATGTAACTAGCATTTCTGTTAGCTACCAAGGTAACTGCAGGCCTTCCAGGTACCCAGAGAGACTGGAGCTGCAGTGTCATGACGTCCCATTCCTTACCCATTCCTTAGGAGGGTGTGATGGTGGTCCACCAAGTACTTTGTAAAGGGACCCAGGGGCCCAAGGCTCTGGTAAGGGATGCTCTGAGGCCAGAAGACCACCCACTGAAAAAAAAAAAAAGAGACACAGAATTGGTCCAGTAATGGTTCTGTTTGAAAGCAGCTGTGGAACAATAGTGGGTCGACAGAAACAACTACAGACCAAAGGAACGGAACAAATCATCCAGTCCTCTGGTCCCCACCTTGACCCCCAAGTAACGCCTTAGCTGTGAGATTGATGCAGAGGAAATAAGCTGATCAGTGTCCAGGGTGACGTGTAATTCTTAATGAGGTCAGTAAAAATGTTTTATAGTAGTGATTAGCTATTTGTTTTAAAGAATTTGCATGCCTTGGCTAGGCTGCAGAAGTTACGGATGGAGCTTATCTCCCAATTAATCTAGAATGGCTTCTTTTACCAAAAAACCAAGAAATAGATAAAATAGATAGGAGACTCTTCTTGAGAATTATTACACACCAACACCTGCAAATTTTATAGCCCTGTACATTTTTATCAAGGACACCAGTACCTCTTTCTTGGTGTTACTTTACGTTGTAACTGCATCTTTCCAAACCACGGAAACTAAAGGGTTGTAGCTGCCATCTCCATAACATTTTTGAACGAGCAAAAGCATCATCCCATGGTAACTCACACAGGCAGAGGACTTTAGAACAACAATGTATCCTTGAAACATTTTAATTCATGCCTCTGCATGTGACGAAATTAGGACAGAGGTGAACACACTTGACACCAGCAACACTGGCAGGCACGACAATCCTAGGGTCTCCTGGAGTATTTAAATGGCATTTCTTCATAACCACACCAACTGGGTCCCATGTATTCCCCAGCATCCTTCTCGTTATTCTTTAAACAAACTCCTTCTCAGGTGGACGAAAGTTACCCTTCCTCTCTGAAGCTGTCTTCCCCCCACACCCAGTTAGTTATATGCTCTCCTTCTCACTAGTTAAATCCTATTCGTGCATTAGGTTTATTCTCATTTTCCAAGCAACTCAAAGTTATTCACTCCGAGTCTTATCCTAAGTTGTTAGATCTGCGGCAATATACTAGCTTCACTCCTCCCTCCCCCAAACGACAAAACTCGGTTAAACCTCAGTGACCGTGGAGGCAGAGGACGCCGGCACCGGAGCATCATCGACTAGAAAACCCCCCCGGAGCCCACAGAACTTCCGCGTACAACAGTAACCTAGGCAACCGCTGCGCGTGTGCGCAGAAGCCTCCCCCACCCCAACCCACCCCCGTGCAGCGCGCACTTCGCCCTCCTCACCGTGAAGTAGCCCAGCCCCAGGGCGGTGACCAGCGAGGGCCAGGGTCTGGCTGCACGGAAGTATGCAGTGGCGTCCCTACGGGCCTCCGACTTCGCCGCCACCATCACGAGAGCCCTAAGCACTGAGTTGCGGGACGAGACCCGCTCCCCGCTCCCCGCCCAGGCGGGGAGAGCCGGGCGAGCCGGTTTCCCAGGCTCAGCTCCGGCAGGCCGGTGCGCCTGCGCGGCCCGTGTCCGCGCGCTCGCCCGGGCCTTACCGTGTAGTAGCTTAAGGAGACGGTGACGACTGTCAGCCACAGCAGGTTGCCCCTCCGGAAGTAGTCTGCCCCTGTGGCCGTCCCCATCGCTGCAACGACTCCGCTGGACGGTGTCTCTCGCACCGGGTTGAACGGGGCGAGCGGATTCCTGTGCACCGGACCCAGGAGGTTTCGGGTACGGTGATCCCGGGAGCCCGGTGCAGGAGGCACTTCCTGATTTCAGCTAGAGGAGCTGCTGTTTGGCTGCCCTGATAATGGCGAGCCTAGTTTCTGAGCCATTTCGGTGACTTGTGCACGTGAGGGGGGGCGGCCCCGCGCCGCCTCCTCCTTTGTTCAGCGAGGAGGAGGCACACACAATGGGTGGAGCCCTACACAGCGGCGGCCTATGGCGTCAGGCTATCCCCATGTCTGCCCCCCTTTTTTTCTCTGTAAGCTCAACATGAGTTTCTTAGACCACGCGTGTTTTCAGTCTACCGGTAAGACGGCCGTGTGTTAGCCCGGCTCGAGGTTTTGGGTTTATTGAAAAAGAAAGCATTACATTTCTGACCTGCACTGCTTGCCAAATACCAGTGATTAATACTGTTAATTCTGTCTACTTCCTGACCAAAGTTATTAGACTTTGGCGTAGGCATCGACCCTCAGGCTTAGTTGCCTCTTGAGACGGTGGGGTACACAACTGTTTGGACTGTGCGTCTTCAGAGAAAGACAAGTTTTGCTTGAGTCTAAGAAATGAATGAAAACAACTTGGTGGTGGCTCCTGTTTGTATCCCAGAACTTGGAAGGCAGAAGAGGAGATGGATTGCTATGAGGTCGAGGCCTCAGTGGGCAGCTTTATAGTGAGATCCAGGCCAGTCAAAAAAAATAAATAAATAATGTCCCCCAAGGAGCTGTGGCTGTGGCTCAGACAGTAAATAGAGTATTTGCTGGAAAAAATTCAGAAAACCCTAGGTTCTGCCTTCAGCACCACAGAGGAGGTGCAGGTGTGGCCCAAGCCTCTAACCCCAACATTCAAGATCATCTTCAAATACACAATGAGTTTTGATCAGGCTGGGCTGCTTGAGACCAACAGCCAACTGCAAAACGAACCAAGCAATGCATGGCAGCGCATACCTGCATTTCAAGGAATGGGGAGGTGGGGGTAACTCCTGCCTCAAGGCCCTGTCCCAAAAATGCAGTAATAGCTGGCATTGAGAGTTCACAAGCTATAGTACAAGGTCTAGTTTGTTTAACCCTCAACACATCTTTAGGAAGTACACAGGTTTTTGTTTGTTTGGTTTTTGAGACAGGGTTTCTCTGTGTAGTTTTGAAGCCTGTCCCGGAATTTGCTCTGTAGATCAGGCTGGCTTTGAACTCACAGAGATCCGCCTGCTTTTGCCTCCCACCGAGTGCTGGGACTAAAGGTGTGCGCCACCACCATGACCACCATCACCGCCACCGCCACAGCCACCGCCACCCAGCCACAGTTTTTATACCAACAGTAGCAGGCACACAGAGAGGTGCCCAGTGTCCTGTAATGGATATGGAGTAGGGAATATAAAAGCCAAGTGGTCTAGGCCGTGTGAGATGGATACTCTCACCCCAGGTTGATTTCCTCATGGTTTTCAACATGTCTTGGGCAGCAGTGTTCTGAAGAAGGAATTCTAGGGGATGTGTTGCAGTCCATTGCCCCAGATAAACCATAGTGCACAGTAACATCAAACTTATCAGTTACAAAAGTGGGTGTGGTGGTTTAATCTCAGCAAGTGTTGTAGAGGCAAGTGATTCAAGAGTTCAAGTCCAGCCTGGGTTACCCTACACCAGGTTCAGAAAAACCCAAGCCACGTGCGGGGTGCCTGTTTGTGACCCTAGCTCTTGGGAGGTGGAAAACGGAGTTTCAAAGTGGAAGGGTCAGCTTCAAGTATGCAGGGAGTTGGAGGGAAACTTAAACTACAATAAACAAATCACTTCCTCCAGGCACTGTGATAGTGTTTGTTTTTATTTTTCAAGCTGTCCTGGAAATCTGCAGATCGGAATGGCCTCAGTCTTACCAGATTCACCTGCCTCTGCCTCTAGAAGGCTGGGATTAAAGGCCAACCCCACCACTCCAGGCTGATAGTGAGTTTTTAGTGCTTATCTTGCTCAAACCACTCTTTTGGTCCTGAGTGTTCCCCCAGCCTGCTGTTTACTTCTTATCTCCTAGGTTTTTATCTTATCTTTTTGTTGATTCAATGATTTTGAGATTCGGTTTTCACCTCCTTCATCTGGATCTCTCGAAGATGATCTCTGGAGTCTTGATGCTCATTTCCTCAGTTAACTGCGGGTCATCTTTATCAAACACCCCCACACACCTCAAGACATCCACTGTCGTTTTGCAGAGTCAGTCCTCATCAAGACCTCTTTGTGATGTTTATCCAGTGAGCTCAAGAACTACTGGTGACCTCTTCCCCCGCTCAGAATTTTTTGTGACCCCATTTTTTATATGAATGTATATAAAATAGATATTCAAAACATTACTGATAATAAGTCACAAAGAGTAATAGGTTTTCTGTAGCCCAGTAAGAGTTTTCTCTGTCTATACAGTAAGCCAGATTGAGTCAAATTGAAAAAAAAAAATAAACAGGTTTATTTGAGCTAAGCAGCTCCCGGGTGAGCCCTCCAGTCCCAGAGCTTGAAGCCTGAGAAGTTAGGTGTCCAAACTAAAGTGAGGAGTTTATACAGTGTGTAGGGAAGGGAGTGATGACACATCTGCCATGAACTGAGTTATGGCCAGGTATGGTGAAAAGCTGACTGATTGAAGGAGGGGACTTGGGTGGCTGGCAACTTCAGGGGAGGAGCTGCCCTGGCCACCAGAAATGCCAAACTGGGCTTTTTGGTGCCTTTGTTGGAGATTCTCTGAGAGGGTGGGCTTTAGAGACACACAGAAAGTGAGAGAGAGAGACAGAGATAGAGACAGGAGGAGGAATGGAGCCTTCTGTATCATGCAGGGCGAGCAACACAACAAAGAGTTTTAACTATTTTTCATAAATGTGTAATGTTAAGGTTGTACCGAGGACATTTCCAACTTTATGTACCAATGAAATTTTACATACCAAGGAAATGAATGTGCGTGTTCATTTACATAAAGAGATTTGGGGCTATCAAGATGGCTCCACAGAGTAAGTTACTTTCTGTCAAATATTTTTTTTCTTTTTCTTTATTTCTCTTTTTAGTTTACAAGACAGGGTTTCCCTGTGGCTTTGGAGGCTGTCCTGGAACTCACTCTGGAGTCCAGGGTGGCCTCAAACTCACCGAGATCCGCCTGCCTCTGCCTCCCGAGAGCTGTGATTAAAGGTGTGTGCCATCACCACCTAGTCTGCCAAATGTTATAAGCTGAGTTTCCTCCTCAGAACCCACATGGTGGATATGCATCATGGCATGTACCCACGCACAGAATAAATCATCAGTTAGTTAGAACTGACTTAAATCTTGCCTGAATACTTCCTACTGCAGGACATAGACTGTTGTCAATGTTTTTCAGAGTAGATCCATATCTACTCTTAATTTTATAACAGCCAGTGCTGAGAATGCTGTTTTGCATAAATCTGAGATATGAAATGGCAGAAGCATGTTTAGAGCCACTTCAGAAATTGTAAGAAATTTTGTCCTAATCTCAAGCCCAAAAGCCATTCAACAATTTTTAGAATGGAAGTCAACTCAGCAACTTGAACAGCAATTTTAAAATGAAATATCCTAGCCGGGCGGTGGTGGCTCACACTTTTCATCCCAACATTTGGGAAGCAGAGGCAGGCAAATTTCTGAGTTCAAGGCCAGACTTGTTTACAGAAGGAGTTTTGAGGACAGTCAGGGCTACACAGAGAAACCCTGTCACAAAAAAACCAAACCAAACTACTTCTTCTAAGGGGTGGTGGAGAGATGGTTCAGTGGTTAAGACTGCTTGCTGTGCAATCATGAGCCTGGAGTTCAGATGTGAGTAATTCCCTGATCCAAATTATCTGGCACCCTTCCCCGGTCTCATGTGCACAGACTTGTGCACACTTGGATGCACACGTGCACACACACACACACACAAATATTTGGGGCTTTTAAGATGTCTTAGTAAAACTTGACAACCTGAATTTTTAAAATAAACAGGTATTTTCTTCTTTAAAAAATACTTTATGTATTCTTATTTTATGTGCATTGGCATTTTGATCGCATGCGTCTGTGTGAGTGTCAGATCTTGGAGTTGCAGGCAGTTGTTGGCTGCCCTGTGGGTGCTGGGAATTGAATGGAGATCCTCTGAACAGACAGTTAGTGCTCTTAACCACTGAGCCATCTCTTCAGCCCCCTACATATGTATTTTCTATTTCCTCCATCTCATTTCACTGAAAACTTCTGTTCATTGTCAGAGAGAATGAGCGTTAGCACACTGAGTTTTTGTTATGCCCCAAACTCAAGACCCCCTTCTCCCAAACACGACCCTGTGTTTGAACTTCAAGCATCTCTCGCCAAGCTCTGGACCTGGTCAACTGCTTGGTGTTTCCCAACCCCATACCCATTACCATGGCATAGCCCACAGCCCAAGAACCTGACTGTTAAGTGTGCTGGCTAGTTTTATGTCAACAAGGTAAGGTCATCCCAGAAGAAGAAATCTTAAGTAAATGCCTCTATAGGGCTGGCATGTCTGTAGGGCATTTTCTTGAATGACAGTTGATGTGGGAGGGCCCAGTCAATTGTGGTCAGTGTCATCCCTGGTCAGGTGGTCCTGGGATTTGTGAGAAAACAAATGGAGCAAATTCAGAAAGAATCTGTAAAACCAATAAGCACTCTCCGTGGCCCATGCATCCATCCCTGCCCTGACTTCCCTCAGTGATGGACAGTGACCTGAGAGTTGTAAGCTGAAACACCTGTGCCCCCTCCCCGCCCCCCAGGTGATTTTGGTCTTTATTGAAGCAGCACAAGTCAGAACTGACACAGCCTTCACACGTAGGACATCCTGAACTGTGTACCCAGAGAACCCAGTTGATGAGAGGGCTTCCCTCTCGGAACCTGAGGCAGCCCAGGCGACTTCCCATCCTCAAGGCACCCTGTCTGCTGTTACTGTGAGTTGGTAGAGGGTGTCACACTTGCAGACTTTCCCTCTTTTGGCTGTCAATGACCGGCATATGGAAAACAACCAGGGAAATAGGGGTGAGTAATTCCACAATCTGTGGGATGGAAGGAGGAAAACTCTTAGGAAATATTAAAAAGCAACGTAGATGAAAACGAAGGTAGCAGAGTTTAAAACTTTGTACTTAGTGTCAAGCCTCAGATGCAAGCTGAGGCCACTCCATACCTGTGGCTCCTCCCTTAACCCTCTCCAGGCCAGGGGCTGGACTGGGCTTCCCTTCCCTTCCCACAACTTCTCATTCCTGTATCAACCTGCCATTTCAGCCATGCATTCTCTTGGTCCTTGACTCCTTTCTTGGTCCACCTGCCCCCACCACTCAAGGCCTGATTGGGTTCAGTCTGGACTCTTTCAGATGCCTCGGACTGAACTCTCATATCTACAATAAAATCCTCCTCCTCAGTCTTATCTTGGAGCAGTCATGTCCTCGTTTTCATTCACTTAGTTAGGTGCAGTGGCACACTGTAATTGCTGGCCTTGGGAACTAGAAGTGTGAGGATCAGGAGTTCAAGGTCTTTCTTGGCTCCGCAGCAAATTTGAGGTCAGCATGGGTTACAAGACCCTTGTTTCAAAAAACCTGGGGGAAGATCTGGACAGGGACACACCTTTAATCCCAGCACTTGGGAGTTCAAGGCCAGCCTGGTCTACTGAGTGAGTTCCAGGACAGCCAGGACTATCTTCAAAGATCTGATTGCCTCTGCCTCTTGAGTGCTGGGATTATTCCACCATCAGGAATATATGTATATATATACACACACATATATGTGTGTGTGTATGTATTAGTTAAAAAGATCTCCCCACACCCCCACACCCAAACAATAAAACAATCCTCTTATGAAAGGCACCATAAAGTTGAAAGACAAGGATAAATTCAGTATTCACAGTGGGTAAAAGAGCAAAGGTCACATGGCACTGAGCATCCTCAGACAACTTGACTGGGATAGAAGAGCTAAAAGATACCCAAGCAAAAACACACTACAGGTAGCTGGGCATGATAGCACATGCCTGTAATTCTAGAATTCTGGGGGTGAATTGGAAAGACAAAGTGAAGTCAGTGGACCTTATCTCACAAAACAAATATAATACCAAAGGATTCCTTTGGTGTTTGACATGCAGAAAGATAAATGGAAAACTAATTCCAGACAGATCTCATAGATATCTATGCATCGATTTTATGACGAAAGTGACACTTCAGATTAAAGAGTGTGAGCCATCAGATGATTCTGGAACAATTAGTTACCTATTGGGGTGGGGAAGGAACAAACGAGTGTGGAACTCTCTCCTCTCAACCCCAAATACTCAAGTGGGGCTGCACCAAATAGGACACAGAGATGAATTGCTCCTCTCTACCACCCCTGAGGAGTTTGATGCAGGGTAGGGGAGTGGAGTCGGCCCAGCGTAGGGGCAGCTGGGGAGGTCAGATGTAGCTCAATCTTCCATTCTGCAGCCTGAGAAACAGAATGCAGACACATCCCCCCCCCCCCCGTGATAGCCTGAAAAATCAAGTTGTCCCCCATCCCCTCCAGCACCCCAAATCCCCAAATAATTTCTTTTTAAAGATGTAGCTCCTTAAACAGCATTCATAACTAATGTTCTCCATGCTACCCCTAAGGAGTTTGCAACCCATGGCATGACTGAGAGGTGAACTTCATTATAATACCAAAATCATCCAGGAGAGAGCAGAAGCCTTCTATAACGTGGCAAGTATGAGGGCCGGCAGTCAGGTCGACTGTGCAGGGTGGTCCCCGCCCACTCAAGCGAGGACGCCTTCTCCCCTCCTGAACAGCTTTTCCACCCAGGTAATCTACTCCTTGACCTGACTTTGGGAGTCTCTTCCAGACGTGATTTCCAGCGCTCTTCCCATTTGTTCCTGGTAAGCGCATGGAAACAAGCCCCTCGTTCTGTAATAAGTTTAAGGGATGGTCAATGAGAAGCAATTTTAAACAGGTTTTTTGCCTTTAATCCCAGCACTCTAGAGGCAGAGGCAGGTGGATCTCTGTGAGTTGGAGACCAGCCTGGTCTACAAGAGCTAGTTCCAGGACAGCCTTCATAGCCACAGAGAAACCCTGTCTCAAAAAGCAAACAAACAAATAAAAAACCCCAAACAACAATAAAAACCAGACTATTTTGCTGAGAGGGACACTAACACAGAGATCAGGAAAAACTGGCCAGCATGCTGATTCGGCTAAAGACAACAGTTTTTAAAGTCTCTGCAGGGACAAGAGAGATGGCTCAGTAATTAAGAGGACCTGGGTTCAATTCTCAGCATTATGTGATGGTGCATAAGAGGATTCGAAACCCTCTTCTGGCCATGGGCATCAGGTGTGTGATTTGGTGTATAAATTTACATGTTGGTTAGAAGCACCCAAACATGCAAAAACAAGTACATGAATAAAGTTCTTGGTTTCAAGAAATCCAAATTGTCCTCTTTCCCCATAGACCGGTATACCAGAGAGGAACTATCCTATTGATTCAGGACAATTGCTCTTTGTGTGTGTGTGTTTTGAGACAGGGTTTCTTTGTGTAGCCCTGGCTGTAGACCATGTTGCCCTGAACTCACAGGGAGAGGTGCAATTTTATCGTCATAGAACCAAAGGAGCTCAAAAATCCATGTGTAGCCGGGCGGTGGTGGCACACGCCTTTAATCCCAGCACTTGGGAGGCAGAGGCAGGCGGATCTCTGTGAGTTCGAGACCAGCCTAGTCTTCAAGAGCTAGTTCCTGGGATTTCTCCACAGAGAGACAGGGTTTCTCTGTGGCTTTGGAGGCTGTCCTGGAACTCGCTCTTGTAGACCAGGCTGGTCTTGAACTCACAGAGTCCGCCTGCCTCTGCCTCCCGAGTGCTGGGATTAAAGGCATGAGCCACCAATGCCCGGCGACTACACTGTTTCATACACACACCAAACAAGTCCTAAAGACTGGGGCTGGGACTCAGTGTCTAGGGCTTCTTGATGCAAGGGCTCTGTGACTTCTGCCATTGACTTGCTCAGTTAAAAACATTTCCAGTCGGAGCTGGGCAGTGGTGGTGCACTGCTTGGTTAGGCCTTAAGGTAAAGATGGTAGGCGTCAACAGGAACATCAGGAGTTTAAGGTCATCTTCAGCTACATAGAGAGTTGAGCCTGATCTCCGCTGCAAGAGCTCCTCAAAAAACGTCCCTTTCAGTGTCTCTGTGGGCACTCCGTCGCCTATATTCTCAATATTCACTAGCCATTCATTGAATGTTGTGGACACTTCTGTTCTCATACAGCTGCCACCTGTACTGTGTCAGTGGCTGGGACATACTTGAGGTTCAAGGTCCTCAGTTCACCCTGTGGACTAGGCATCCACCCTGACCGCCTTCCGGTCTAGGTGGGGATAAAACAATGCAACATTAGAAAGATGACACAGAGGCCAAGATGAAGATTCCTTTCCGTGCGTGTTTAATGAAGGCAAGATGCGTTTGAAAAGACAGATTCAGTTTTTTGTTTTTTTGTTTTTTTTTGCCAGAGGTGGTCCTGGGTGGAGAATAGGGCGGGGCAGAGGGTGGAACCTTTCTTTGACTGAAGACTGGTGAGTTCTTTAGGGAGTTTCTGAGGAGGGGGCAGCCTCTGCTTCTTATATAATTAGCAATAACTAGGGAAAAAAATCCTTTACTTCTGCAGAGAGCCTATGTCTGGAAATGGAGGATTCCCAAATGACTTCCAAAGGTAAGATGCTTGGCTAGGGACCAAACTCTGGCTTTTATTTATAGCTGGCTATTTATCTGATGCTCTACACAGGTATGTCTATTCTAACCTCTTTGATATTTGGGTGTATTCATCTACGGATGTGTTGGGCTGCATTCATCCTGTGACTCGTTCTGCCTACATGTTGGGCATGGCTGTGTCTGGGTTTTGTTTGTCTGTAAGGATGTGAGTTATCATTTCTCTTTTGTACCTCTAGTAGGATGGGGGCACCTCTCCTGGCTGCTTGCTGCATGGCGAAGTGATTGGTGGTGGGACTTAACCCAAGACTCAAGTAAAAAAACAAACATAGACACTTAAGGGGGTTTCCCCCTTTTTTTTTGGTTTTTCGAGACAGGGTTTCTCTGTGGCTTTGGATGCTGTCCTGGAACTCACTTTGTAGACCAGGCTGGCCTGGAACTCACAAGAGATCCGCCTGCCTCTGCCTCCCGAGTGCTGGGATTAAAGGCGTGCGCCACCACCGCCCAGCTGGTTTCCCCTATTTTAGAGGTCTTTGTGGAACTATTTGCAGGTGAAGAGATATTATGCTGGGGATTCCATCTGCAGTGATTGGTCAAGGTGTGGGAGCAGAGATAAGCAGGGTGTGTGAGTGAGTAAATGGCACTGGTCAAAGGCAGGTACCACCAAACCCAGCCTCCTTCATGCTTTAAGGAAAAAAAAAAGTGAATGAGACAGGGCTGGTCATAGGACTTGGTGGCACAAAGCCTTCCTAGCTAGCAAGGCTCTAGGCTTGATCCTCACTACTGTAAAACAAGAATGAATAAAAAATAAAGCTGGGTGTGGTGGTACACACCTTTAATTTCATTACTGTGAGGCAGAGGCGGGCAGATCTCTGACGTCCAGGCCAGCCTGGTCTACATAGTGTGTTCCTGGTTAGCCGGAGCTACATGGTGAGGCTGTGCCTGAACGAAAATAAGTCAATAAAAATGAAAATATGGAGAGGGAAGAGAAAAGGACAATAGTGTAAAAAAAAAAAGTAAACATCCAAATGCTAAGCTAAAGACATGTAGTGCTTGAACCACAGCTTCTTCTCAATCCCAGAGAAGTGGATGCCCCTGTTGTTGGGAAAGAGGATCTTGCAGAGTCAGGGGTTTGGAGAAGAACTCAAGTCAACAATAAATCTGCAACTCAAAGCACCAGAAAAAGAAGCTCCATGACATTGGCTTGGGCCATGATTTCTTTCATTTTTGGGGGGGTGGGTGGGGAGGGTTTCGAGACAGGGTTTCTCTGTGGCTTTGGAGGCTGTCCTGGAGCTAGCTCTTGTAGACTAGGCTGGTCTCGAACTCACCGAAATCCGCCTGCCTCAGCCTCCTGAGTGCTGGGGTGAAAGGCATGCGCCACCACAGCCCAGGTTGGGTCATGATTTCTTGGATTACTACTAGAAGCATAAGTGACAGAAACAAAACATACAAGTAAGGTAACTTCAAATTTTCTAACTCGGGCCCGAGGAAGGGTATCTGTAGTAAGGTGTGAACTTAGCATGTGCAAGACCCTGAGTTCAATCTCCAGTCTCCAGCGTGGAGGAATACACAAACACGTAATTAAAATTCATGACCCTCAGCACAGTGAAAAGCAAGTTCTGGAATGGGAAAAGGGTTTTTTGCAAATCATATCTTATAAGAGGCTAATGTAGAGAATATAATTTCTTTTTTTTAAAGATCGATTGATTTATATAGTGTTCTGTCTTCATGAAATTATTTGTTATAGTTCTGGAAGCTGTAATGCCTGAAGGTGAGTCACTGGTGTTCAGTGCAGGATGCAGGACCTTCTCGCTGTGTGGTGCTGTGACAGGGCAAGATTGTGAGCGTGCTCTTTATTTTCAGATTGTGGTGAAAAGCAAAATTTGCTGACCGGACTTAAGAGTTTAATGGCGTTCCACTTTGTTGATAAACAGCAGTCTGGTTAGCGGTCTGTTTATATATTACTTGAGCTAAGGGAACACCAGAAGCCAGAAGACAACTTGTAGGGAGCCAGTTCTGTCCTGGTGTGGTCCCAGGAGTAAGAGTCTGTCAAGCTTGGTGGCAAGAAACCTCACTGAGCCATCTTGCTGGCCTTACATGCATGACAAATTCATTGTTTTAATCCATTATGCAATTAAATGTCTGAAATGTACACTTCGTGGGTATTGCAGTCATGGTGGATGATCTTTTTTGTATCGCAAGTATTTTACTGAGTGTTTTTGCAGTTTATGTCCATGAGGGAGATCGGTCTGTAATTCTCTTTCTGTGTTGAGTCTTTGTGGCTTGGGTATCTGAGTAACCACAGCCTCATAAAATGAATGGGGCAATGCTTCTTCTGTTTCCATTTTGTGGAATAATCTGAGGAGTATTGGTAATAGGTAGTAACTTTTTTTTTCCCTTCGAGACAAGGTTTCTCTGAGAAACCTTTGACTGTCTTGGAACACATTTCGTAGACCATGCTGGCCTTGACATCACTGAGATCCACCTGCCTCCCAGAGTGCTGTGATTAAAGGTGTGTGCTGCCACCACCTGGTGGTAGTAGCCATTCTTAAGTGGTAAGAGGCAGTATTTTTTTTTTTTTTGAGGCAGTATTTCCACAGATTTGATTTTTGGTTTCCCTAATAACTAGAGGTTTTGAGTGTTTTCTTAGTGGTGTCATCTGTAGAGAAATATTTACTGGAGTATTTTGCATTTCAAGCTGTTCATTGTGCTCTTTGATGCACAGTTCTAAGTTTTGCTGTGTGTACCCTTGGTGGGCTCAGTCCGGCCACATTGTGAGAGTGGAGGTCAGAGGATAACTTTCAGGAGTCAGTTCTCTTCGTGTTCTGGGGATTGAACTCAGGTTATCAGGCTTGGTAGTAGGAGACTTTACCTACCGAGCCATCTTGCCAGTTACTTATTTAAATTTCTTTCTTTATAAATTTGTTTTTAGCCAGGTGTTGGTGGCCCACACCTTTAATCCCAGTACTTAGGAGGCAGAGGCAGGTGGATCTCATAGTTTGAGGCCAGCCTGGTCTACAGAGTGAGTGCCAGGATAGGCTCCAAAGCAATACAGAGAAACTATGTCTGGTTTAGTTATTTCTAGAGGGACTGGAGACATGGCTCAGCAGTTAAGAGTCCTGGTTGCTCTTCCAAAGGTCCTGGGTTCAATACCTAGTAACCACATGGTGGCTCACGACCATCTGTAATGAGACCTGGTGCCTGCTTTTGGCCTGGAGGCAGCCATACAGACAGAACACTGTATACATAATAAATCGTAATTTTTTTTTGGATACAGGGTTTCTTTATTTAACCTCAGCAGTTGTGCAATTCGCTGTAGACAGGGATGGCCTTGAATTCAGATATTCATCTCCCAAATGCTGGGATTAAAGCCCTACACCATTATACCTGACCCTAAAATGTTTTTTTTTCCTCTTTAAGATTTATTTGTGTGGCCGGGCGTTGGTGGCGCACGCCTTTAATCCCAGCACTCAGGAGGCAGAGGCAGGCGGATCACTGTGAGTTCGAGACCAGCCTGGTCTACCGAGCGAGTTCCAGGACAGCCTCCAAAGCCACAGGGAAACCCTGTCTCGAAAAACCAAAAAAAAAAAAAAAAAAAACCAAAAAAAGATTTATTTGTGTGTGTTTGACACGCTTGTGTGCAGGTGACTGGATCTGAGTATGGCACAGTCACTTGGAACTGGACTTGCAGGTGTTTGCCTGGTGCCCGGCTGGTTATGTGGATTCTGGGAACTTAACTCCCGTCCCTGTGACTATGCAGCGAATGCTCTTAGCCACTGAGCTGTCTGTCAAGGCCAGTTCTGGTGTACTTCTAACTTCCCTTGTGTTTCCTGTGGTCCGGCTATATGGAATTGCCATCAAATGAATGTCATCCAAGTTTTCCTTCGTGCTTTCTTGTAGTTCTTGTTTGGCCTTGAAGATTAACTGTATAATGTGAGGGTCTCACTAGACTCTGACGTGTGCACCCACTGCTCCGTTGTGTTGGCCTCCATCTCTTGCACTGTGTCCCAGGCCTCACTGTCCTCCTCTCTTTGTTTCTTAACTCAGATTTTGCATATGAGGGAGGACATGTGATCTATGTCTGTCTTCCAGATTTTTGCTTATTTCATGGACTGTAATGATCTCCACTTCCAGTTTTAAAAAACTGGCTGAATAATTTGTGTTAAATTTTGTACGTGAGCCAGGCATTGGTGGCTCAGGCCTTTAATCCCAGCACTCAGGAGGCAGAGGCAGGTGGATCTCTGTGAGTTCGAGGCCAGCCTGGTCTACAGAGCGAGTTCCAGGACAACCTCCAAAACAATACAGAGAAACTCTGTCTCGAAAAAACCAAACAAACAAACAAAAAAACATTTTGTACATGATATAAGGAAAGGGTTCAACTTGCTTCTTTTTGGTGTAGATGGGATCTTGTCTGAGAATCCTGGGTCATGAGCTGGACATGGAGTGGCACATTTTGAAACCAAAGCACAAGTCTTCTAACTTTGCCTTATTAGTATTCTCTGAAATCCGGTAAATTTTAGAACCAAGTTTTCCATATTCTGTGGGTGCCACTGATATTCATTGCATTTCTGTGGGTGCCACTGATGCTCACTGCATCCCTGCAGGTGCCACTAATATTCATTGCATTCCTGAGGGTACCACTGATGCTCACTGCATTCCTGAGGGTACCACTGATGCTCACTGCATTTCTGCGGGTATCACTAATATTCACTACATATCTGTTTCCACCTCTTTTTGGCTTCCCAGACAAAGACAAGAACTGCAGCAAAGCAAGAGCAGGGTGGGGAAGAGGAAAGTCAAAACCAAGGCATAAATTTGCCCAAGATCACCTGAAGATTCTTCAACAATTATTTGAAAAGGATCCTTATCCAAATTATTTAACCAAGGATAAACTGGCAGCGCAGTTCGGGTGCCAAGTGTGCGTGATCGAGGTAAATCTGATCTCTGAAGCTTTCTGTGAAGATGCCCTCACACGTGTCATGGCATGGGGCAGTATTTTCCTAATTTCAGTTTGACCCAGCTTATACAGAAATATAACCCACTGTGAGGGAAATTTGGAAGCAGCTTAAGGACTTAAGGGAGAGGAGATGCGTTAGATTCCTGATACCCATTTGTCCGCTCATGCCTCTGTCACTCTAGTTCTAGGCTTTGACGCCCACATCTGGCCTTCACAGGCCCTTCACACGCACAGTACATGAATATACATGCAGGCAAAACACCCATGCAACATACGGTAAGACATTTATTTAGGCCGAGCATGGTGGTGCATGCTTTTAATCCCCACACTGACTTGGATGCTATGAGAGGCAGGCGGATCTCTGAATTGAGGCCAGCCTGGTCTACAGAGTAAGTTCCAGGACAACCAGGGCTACTAGGAGAAACCCTGTCTCCAAAAAAACAACAACAAATAAAAAGTTATTGTCATTACCCAGGACGGGGACTATGCTGGTGTTTGCTGTGACAAGGACAAAGTAGTAAGACTTCTGAGTAATGGTTTTTAAGTGTATTGAAAATAGTGACCATTTTAAAGGGGGAGCAGATGGTCAGCTGAGAGATCAGGTATGTAATGGGGGAAGGGGAGAAAGGATTGCCTTAAATGAAATAAGCGGAAGACTGGAGTTCTCCTCATACAGAGGCCCCACGCCGTACAGTACAGTACAGGATCTCACTGTGTAGCCCTGCCCATCCTGGAAGTCACTATGTAGGCCAGGTTGACCTGGAACTCACAGAGAGAGCCGCCTGCCTCTGCTTCCCAAGTGCTGGGATTAAAACGTGAGTGCCCTCATGCCTGGCCCCCATCTTTAAAAACATTTCATCATTACCCCCCCAAAATAAAGGCGCTTTGGACCATGATTTTCATGTATAGACTATTATAAGGAGGCTAAAAGTGCTTAGGGTCACATACCTACCAAAGCATGGTTTTGTGTCACACATAAAAATTATAGCTTGGGGCTGGGTGGTCGGTGCACGCCTTTAATCCCAGTACTCGGGAGGCAGAGGCAGGCAGATCTCTGAATTCGAGACCAGCCTGGTCTACAAGGGCTAGTTCCAGGACAGCCTCCAAATCCACAGAGAAACCCTGTCTCGAAAAACCAAAAAAAAAAAAAAGAAAAAAGAAAAAAGAAAAAAAAGAATATAGCTTGTAACATGCTGTATCTTGTTTGGGGACAGCTTGGTGAAGTGTATAGGAAGTGTTACGGGATACTGCTGGTTTGTTTTGTCTACATACAGAGGCCACAACAGGGTTGGCTGGAGCAGGCTTCCATATTTAAACATGGAAGTGGGGGCGGGGGTTTACACAGTTCACAGCCTCCACAGTAGAGGCACAGGCCTAGGAAAGGCTGTCTTCCTCCTTTTCCCCTGTCTTTTAAAGGTCAGGAAGCAAGGTAGTGAGGCTGAGTCTTACAGATCTGTGGCAGTGCCTGTGAGAACGACTGTGGTACTTGGCATGTTGGTACACATTGCTCCCAGTTCTGTAGGTGGATCTGAGTTTGAGGCCTGCAAAGTGAGTTCAAGGACAGCCAGAGCTACAAAATAGAGGGACCCCAGTCTCAAAACAAAGAAAGAAAAGTTACTATGTATGGGACACAGATCTGGCTAACACTTTCCTTTTTTCTCTTTAAGAACTGGTTTCAAAATAGAAGATCCAGGCTACCCTCAAAACTGAGAGGCAAAAACTACGACGGTAGGACGACACCGGAGAGCCAAGACAGCGGGCTCCCAGGCCACCAGGGTACCCAGTCTCTGTCTGCCTGTGACACCGCTGGGCAAGTCTGTTCTGTGGAGACCCAGGAAGCTTCTGGAGAACAGGTTGATTCACCGGACTCCATGGTCCAAAGCGTTAGAATGAGATCGAGTGCCTGCCCTGTGTGCTACCAAGGTGCCGGTGGGAGCGGATCTTCTTTCAGCCTCGGAACAACAAACTTTACTCCTCCCCCGATGTGTGAGCAGTCTGCTATGGGCAACTGGATCAAGACATGGTACAGCCAGAGTTCCACATCCTCTGTCTTTGGCTATGTTCCTAGGAGTGGGCAGGGGCAGATGGATAGTAAGTATTCCTGGCTATTTCCGAAACAGCAGCAGAATAACTGGGGACATCAGCAGCAACAGCAGCAGCCTCAGAGCGACCAGGAGACGTCCTTTGCCGACCGGCTTATGGTGCACCAGAGTCAACAAGACTTAGGGCAGCAGGCGCCCTTCTTCCTGTCAGAGCATCAGGAGCATTTCAGACTCAGTGGCGATGCAGCAGGCTCTCAGATGCAGCCTGCACATCTAGCGGGGCAGCAAGGGGCTGCCAACAGCTATGCATGTGCCTCAGCAGGAGAGGGGTCCTCTCAACACATACCCGAAGGTTCCCCAAGGCTGTGCTGGGACCAGCCTGCAAGGCAGGAATGTTGGGAGCACCGTCAGGTCTAAGGTGGAATTCAGGAGTCTTAAGAGCTTCTGGGAAATCCTTAGTACTTAAGATCCAGCATCCCCATGAACGGGTCTCTACAATTTCCAGGAGGAAAGTTTGTGAATGTGAATTGTGGCCTAGCTCTAGCTCTAAGGTTGCGGCCCCCACCCCATAGACCGGCAGGCATATCAATACTTTTAATTTCTATGGACCAGATTTTAATTTCTAGGTCCTGGCAGGTGGCATGCTGCCCCAGGTAAAAGGGAAAGCACTGGCCAGCCTGTCAAGGGAGGGAGAGCATCAGGACCTCACTAGCCATCAACAGCCCAGGTGACTTTCTAATGAGGGTACTTGGCTTTGATCCTCCTAGGGGTTCCACAGTAGCAAGGCTTGTCATGTTGCCCAGAGTGTTGCAGCCTCTGGGTCCCTCAAGCTTTTGCACAACTGGACAGAGCCTAGGTATATGTTTAGATGGCTGCTTACCCCATATTGGCCTGATCAGATTTTATTTATTTATTTATTCCTTTTTGGTCATTTGAGACAGGGTTTCTCTGGCTTTGGAGGCTGTCCTGGCACTAGCTTTTGTAGACCAGGCTGGCCTCGAACTCTGAGATCTGCCTGCCTCTGCCTCCCGAGTGCTGGGATTAAAGGCATGCACCACCAATGCCCGTTGTAAATAGTTTTCATATATCCTCCCAGATACTCCCCTGGAATTTATTTTTTAATTTATTTTATTTTCAAATTAACACAAACTTAGGCATATCTGGGAAAACGGGATCTTTTGTTTTGTTTTGTTGTTTATCTGTTTGGTTGTTTGGTTTGTTGGTTGTTTAAGACATGATTTCTCTTAGTAGCCCTGGCTGTTCTGGAACTCACTCTGTAGACAGGCTAGCCTCGAACTCAGAGATCCACCTGCCTCTGCCTCCCGAGTGCTGGGATTAAAGGCGTGCGCCACCACTGCCCTAATTTATCTTATTTTCAAGGCAGAGTTTCACCACAAAGCTCTGCCTGTCCTGGAACTCACTCTGTAGGCCAGGCTAACCTTGAATTCAGAGATTTACCTGCTGTTACCTCCTGAGTGCTAGGATTCATGGCATGTGCCACCCCCCACCCTCCCCACCCTTTCACACACACCCCCTCTCCCCCCAACCCCCCAGACTTCACTTTTTCCTAATCTTAGGATTCTGTTTAGATGATTAGATTTTGTTTCTGTAGAATGTAAACAACAGTTAGCTGGGAAAAGATGGGAGAGGTATGTGCTGCGCTGAGGGAGCACCAAGACACATTGTATAGAAGTGTTAAATTGTCAAGAATAAATAAAAAATATCCTGAATAGATAAAAAAATAAACCTCCAAAAAAAACTCACCTGTATGTAGATTTTGTTCTTTAGGTAAATAAAGATTCAACCTCCTGGACAGTGGGTGTCATTGCCTGGCTTTAACGGTATCTGTCAACTCACAATGCAGCATCTGGGTTGCGTTCAGATTTTCTTTCCCTTTACTCACTTAATAGAGGTGGGCACTGTTGATTTTCTCTGGGAGAAGCCAACCAGATTCCTGGAGCTCAGCCACAGGGAAGTCTGCTCGTTTGCACACAGCATCGCTAGCGCCTAATGGTACACAGACAACTCTGCAGAACACAGTCCAAGCTTTTGAACAAGCAAAAGGCCTGCTTGCAAAGGCCTAACTGAGTTCAGTTCTCCTGAGCTCTTTAGTGGCCAGAGCTGTTAAGATGGTCCTACACTCTACAGTTCCTGGAACTGCAAGCATGCCTTTATAACTTGTAAGGTGCTGACCTCCCTCAAAACAGCTCATGGTATTTTTTTTTTGTTGTTGTTGTTTTTTATTTGTTTTTGTTTTTGGTTTTTTTTTTTTTTTTTTTGGAGACAGGGTTTCTCTGTATTGTTTTGGAGGCTGTCCTGGAACTGGCTCAGTAGACCAGGCTGGCCTCGAACTCAGAGATTCCTCTGCTTCTGCCTCCCAAGTTCTGGGATTAAAGGTGTGGGCCACCAACTCCCAGCCAGCTCATGGTATTTATTTATTATTATTATTATTATTTTTGGTTTTTACGAGACAGGGCTTCTCTGTGTTGTTTCAGAGGCTATCGGTCCAGCCCGGCCTCGAACTCACAGAGATCCACCTGCCTCTGCCTCCCGAGTGCTGGGATTAAAGGCGTGCGCCACCACCGCCCGGCTCAGCTCATGGTATTTAAATAGGGTTATTTTTATGTCTCTCATGTCCCTCTTTGGCAGTTGGTACAACTTGGGGGAGGTTATTAAAACTAGTACCTGGACATGGGGGTATAAAAAAATGTCTATTGGACTAACTGCTTTCAGTCCTTTTGGGCATATATTTAGAACAGGAATTGTAGATCATATAAATTAAGTATTTTTTTTAAACAAACAGGTTAAAAAAGTGTCTTTACATTTATTATGGAGGGAGCAGGCAGGGCTGTGTGCATGCAATCATAGAGGTCAAAGGACAAGTTGTGGGAGCACCTTCTTGTACTGTGTGGGTTTTGAAGATCAAACCTTGGGTCTTTAAGGCAAGTGGCTATACCAGCTGAGACATCTTTCTGGCCCAAACTGAGGATGCTGGGGTTGCAAGTACACACCACTGCATCTGACCTCTGTGATGCTGAGATATGAGCCCATACCCTTATGCATGCATTCACAGATATTTTTTTTCTCATTAGAGATTTAACAAGAGGGTTGGACTATGGCTCAGCAGTTAAGAACACTTGTTGCTTTTGAAAAGGACCAAGATTCACTTCCCAGCACCCTTATGGTGGCTCACAACTTCCTGTGATTACAGGGCATTGTGGTGCATACATACTTGCAGGCAGAACACAAAATACATAAAATTTTTTTTTTCTGAGGCCGTGTTTCTCTGTGGCTTTGGAGGCTGTCCTGGAACTAGCTCTTGTAGATCAGGCTGGCCTCGAACTCACAGAGATCGGCCTGCCCCTGCCTCCCGAGTTCTGGGATTAAAGGGGTGTACCACCACCGCCCAGCTGAGAATTTAGTTTTAAAAAGTGTTAGTAAACATGGTAGGCATTCAAAACAACACCCATGTTTGTGTGCCTGCAAATGTGGCCTTTCATTTTCAGGGACAGTTGTAGATCTACCTGAGCTAGGCCAGAGGCATTTTTGCACCATTACTATAATCTTTTACACATGTGCTCCATGACCTGGAACTAAACATGCCCAAATATGTCTATTCTGGGTAGTTCTCAAATTGTAAGGTTAAACTGAGCATGCTCAGGAATGCACCAACCCCTGGGAGAGCCTGTGTAGGCTCCCTGAATAAAACCTCCAAGCTGCCTTTGTTCCAGGAGGTCATTGCTTTGGAAATCACTCCTGTGTTGTCTTTGCTTGGTGCAGGTAATATGACTTCCTCCACTCTTTTTTAAAAAATATTTTATTTATTTATTGTGTATACAGTCTTCTGCCTGTGTGCTAGCAGAAGGCACCAGATCTCATTCAAGGTGATTGTGAGCCACCATGTGGTTGCTGGGAATTGAACTCAGGACCTCTGGAAGAACAGTCAGTGCTCCTAACCGCCCCGCTGAGCCATCTCTCCAGCCTCTTCCCCCACTCTTAACTCTTGGCTATGCTCGTTTTTGTCTTGCACCCGCTAATGCCTGGTGACAAGAACAATTGTTATGTATAATTAACACACACCGATAAAAGTCTTAAGTTAATAAAGATAACAGTAATAACAAAATAATGTAAGTAAGGATGGGGGTGAAGAAAATGGAAAGGAGGTGAAACGAGATTAAGAGTTGAACCAGCCGGGCGTTGGTGGCGCACGCCTTTAATCCCAGCACTCAGGAGGCAGAGGCAGGAGGATCTCTGTGAGTCCGAGGCTGGGCTGGACCGACAGCCTCCAAAACAACACAGAGAAACCCTGTCTAGTAAAGAGAGAGAGAGAGAGAGAGAGAGAGAGAGAGATGAACCAGGCGGTGGGGGCACACACCTTTAATCCCAGGTGGATCTCTGTGAGCTCGAGGCCAGCCTGGTCTACAGAACAGTTCCAGGACAACCTCCAAAGCAATACAGAGAAACCCTGTCAAAAAGAGAAAAAGGAATGTAAGGAAAATGACAAGGATATAAATATGAATTGAAAATCGAGGCCGGGCATTGGTGGTGCACGCCTTTAATCCCAGCACTTGGGAGGCAGAGGCAGGCGGATCTCTGTGAGTTCGAGGCCAGCCTGGTCTACAAGAGCTAGTTCCAGGACAGCCTCCAAAGCCACAGAGAAACCCTGTCTCGAAAAAACCAAAAAAAAAAAAAAAAAAAAAAAAAAAAAGAAAAAGAAAAAGAAAAAGAAAATCGAAAGTATGGAAGTAAAGAGGAAAGATTAGCAAAAAATTAAATATCAATAAAATAAAGTAGAAACATAATATAGTAAAAAGAAAAAGTCTGGGGGAGAGAAACCAGAACTTGCTTCTTTTAGTACTAGAATCTACCAGTTGTGTGTGTAAGAGAGTCAGTGCTGAAAACTGTTGAAAAGCCTCCTGCTTATGCGGAGGGGGTCTGCCTTAGTCAAGGAAGGGTAAGCTGTGAGGTCAGAGAGACATTCACTCTATTTGCTTCCCTTCCCTGACAGCTGCTACTGGCCACAGTAAACTTTGTGGCTTGTTGGCCAGGCAGCTTCCCAATCCATAGCTGCTCACCCCTTAAATTTGTACATCCATAAGTGGCAAATGTCTAAGCCTGGGCTAGAGACAGGGCTCAGTGGTTAGGAGCACTGCCTGCTCTTCCAAAGGTCCTGAGTTAATTCCCAGCAACCGCATGATGGCTCACAACCATCTTTAATGAGATCTGGTGCCCTCTTCTGGCCCGCAGACAGAGCACTGTATACACAATAAATAAAAGGTGTCAACGGAGTAAGGAATGGGGGGGGGGGGGGGGTCAAGGAATGCTGATTTCTGCACCGGGTCGGGAGTGGCAAGCTGTCTGCAGGGTTCTGGCACGCAGCCCCGGCGCAGCAGCAACCCTCGTTGTTGGAAACAGAGCCATCTGCCAGCTCAGGGCTCTTGGCGCTTTGTTTCCTTTTATGAAACAGACTGGAGGCAACTCCAGAAGGCGGAGGAATCCGCCAGCCAGGAATTGGATCTCTCTGTCTTTGCTGGGATCCGCGGGTTGTGGGGCCTGCTCCCTGGGAGAGGCGCCCCCTCCCCCCGAGCTCCCGCCCCCTAAAACTCCCCAGACCTCCCATATCCCACCCTCCTCCCCTCTTCGCCTCTGCGCCTGGCCGCGGGCAGCCACTCTGGCTCTCGGACAGACTGACCCCATGCTCGCACGCTCGCTGTGACTTGTGACTGACTGCTCCTTGTTTTCGGAGTCTCAGGGTAGCCTAGTCTCAAACAAGAGGTCCTTTCTCGACCAGGCTTCTGCTGTAGCACTGCACTCCCGAAACACCGGGTTGAGTAGGGGTTTGGATGGAGGGACTTGGATGCAGGATTTCTTCTCCGCAGCTAGCGGGGCCCCTCCGGAGGAGGCATGGTCTCCCCTCCCCCCCAGCTGGATTAAGGCTTGTGAGAACTGTGGGTTTATCCTGCAGCTGGGGCTGCCAGTCTTTTGTCACCAGGACTGGCAGGCTTACGCGTGGTGGGGGCTCCTGATTGGGGATTTCAGATTTGCTTCCGCCCGTCCTTGCCAGGGTCTTTCTATTTTCCTATCCTCTTTCATCTGTCTTGCCACCTCTCTCTGATGCTTCGCCTTTCTTTCTGTCCTGGGAATATGGTCTGTCTTTTGTTACCCTGACTCTTCTATCCCGGAGTTGCATGGAGGAAGCGTCCAACCCGCCATCTTACCCCCAGAAAGCAAACATTTTCCCCTTCTGATAGAGTGGGGAAAGGGGGTTTGTGGAGAGGGGAGAGGAGGACACTACGAAGAGGACGAGGTAGTATCAGTGAGACATCCAAGTTGCTGCTGGAGAGGTGTTTTCCACATCCTTCAGTTTTCAGATGCGACTCCCCTAATTAGGTAATTTCTGCTGCTTGACTAAAACACCCAGGCTAGAGCCCCATCTCTCCTTAATTTGCAAAAAAAAAAAAAAAAAAAAAAGAAAAAAGAAAAGGGAGGGATCAGGGGCTACTGGGTTTTCCCTTACTTTACCATATGCGTTGGATCCTATGCATCTAGATAGTATTTTTTTCCACACACACATATTTTTTCATTAGTTTGGTCACATGGCTTTTTTGGAACTAACACTGGTATCATAAACAGATATCTGTAACACACTCCATAAAGGTTAATTAACTCAACTGATTTCACTTAGCTCTAGCGGCTCCCAATTTATTGTCTGTCTTTTTTTTCCCCCTTTGTTATTGTAAATATTTTTTAAGTGAAAACAACAGTGTATTTTATTCCAAGCCACAAGAATATATCTTGTCAACAAAGCATTTTTAACAATACCTGCATATTGAAATGTGACTTTTGGCTACAGTCAATAGGAAATTGGTGATGTTAAGTGTTCAGTGAACAGTTTTTGAAAATTGAGGTCTTATGAAACAAACTAGAAAACTTGGTGTTGGAATGGACACCCTGTGGTGGAAACCTAGCTTTGATAGAATTAGGGGAGGCGTATGTGATGGCTAAAATGATCATCACCTCCACATGGTCTAGGCTAACCTAGGGGGTAAGGCTCCTGGTCCACCTGTGAGTTAATCTCAGTTAGGTTAATTGGGGTGGGAAGACCCACGTTCAAAACAGGGCTACTCCATTCCTGGGACTTGGGCTTGGGTCCTAGATTGCACGAAAAAGGAGAAAGCTGACTGAGCAGCAACATGACATCCTTGGCTGTCTTCTTCCTGACTTCGGAAACAATGTGACCAGATGCTTCAGGCTCCCGCTGCCTTGACTGCCCTGCATGGTGGACTGTGCCCTGGAACTGTGAGCCTAAATCAACTCTTCCTTTTTTAAGCTGCCTTCTTCATCGGGTATTTGATCACACCCAGAAAAGTAACTAAGACCTTTTGTTTCTCATCTGCCCTGGGCATGGACTGTCTTTTTCTCCTTTAGCAGCAGCTGAAGGTTTCTCACTAGCAGTTTTAATTCTACTGTTATTTTCCACAGAGGCACGTCAGCTATACCAACTTGGCATGCCTATGTCTCGGCTAAGCTATTCTTAGATGAAAAAACAAAACAAAAAACAAACAAAAGCCAAAAACCGACAACAAGATCATACTTCTAACTTTCTGTAACTCTCCCCTGAACACATTTTCTCAGAAGGACAAGGTTTTTGGGTGAGGCTCATTCTTTTCTTACCATACCTTGCACGCAGTTATATAAGGTTGTTACTTATTCATTCACTTACTTTTGCTTACGTGTGTATAATAAGGTGGGTACATTCATGCCATGGTATATGTGGAGGTCAGAAGACATATTGTTGAAGTTGGCTCTCTCCTCCTACCCTGTGGGGGGGTCTAGGAATTGAGCTCAGATTGTCAGGGCTTGGCAACAAGCACCCCTACCTGCTCAGCCATCGCACTGGCCTCTGAAGTTAATTGCTGTTAACTATCTTGCATTAGATGATAATGAGGTAAAAGAAGGCCATGAAAGTATTTTCTAAGTGTGTATATATGCATGCTTATAAGAAGTACATAGTCCACACACACAGGGCCAGCTAGGGAAGAAGAGGGGAGCAGGCTGTACTTCTCATGCCAGAGCTACAGTACTAGCTCTCTGTTGTTGACTTTCTTCAGGCCAGTGCCAGCGTTACTGTTTTCTCTTCGTCCTTACTGAGTCAGTCCCACCCATACTGGATAGTCTGCTTTACTTGAAGTCACCTAGTTTTACTCTTTAATCACATGGGCCAAATACATTTCACAGCACACCTACACTAAGCTTGAGTCAATGTACTAGAGAGCTTAGGCTGGCCAATTGCATGAACAATCTGATAGAACAGCAAGGACAAAATAATAATAATCATAATAATAATCAAGTAAATGTGTTTTAGCAGAAAATGGAGAAAAATTTGAAAAATACAAAACAAGATGAGACTCCTAGTATATTAAAGAAGATAGTCAAGATAATTAGGAAATAAACAACGTGAAATGAATAGTAGGGGCTGGGGCTGTAGCTCAGTGATAGGGCACCTACCTAGCCTGCTTGACGCTGGGTTCCATCCTGAGCATAGCAAATGCTGAAGAAATAACACACAGGTACAATCTAGAGAGCTCAGAAATAAAACCAAACATGGAAAGGTATTAGGACAGATCTAAAATTACCCAGAAGTTTGTACTTTCTCTCTAAATCCAACTTCTTTGTGTAAGTAATTACTTCAGATTCCTCTTATGTGCTGTGTTAGTCCAGTTTTACATTGCCTCAGGGAGACTGTTTGAAGGAGGAAGAATTAATTTCTTGTTCAGTGGTTCTATCTGTGGTCACTGGGGCCCACTGCTTCGGATCTGATCAGGCAGGATTTCAAGGCAGTGAGTCTGAGGTTGTTTTTCTTGGAAATAAGGAGAGAGAGAGAGAGAGAGAGAGAGAGAGAGAGAGAGAGAGAGAGAGAGAGAGAGAGAGAGAGAGAAAGAGAGAAAGAGAGAAAGAGAGAGATGACAGGAATGCACCACGACCAAGGCCTGTTCTTTGTAGTTACACACAGTCTCAACAACCCTCCAACTGAGTACCAGCATCCCCAGTTCATCACCTGTCCAGAATCTTCTAAGTGTCAGTCCACCAAAGGGTTAAACCTGTGATCTGCTCAACTGGCTTATGATCTAATCTTGTCTGGAAACACCCCAGACACACCCAGAGGCGGGCCCACTAATCTCCCAGGAACCTCTTAATCCAATCAAGTTGACAATCAAGATTTGCCACAATGCTGTTGCATATGTAATGAAGGGATGAAAGCAACAGGTATTTAAGGAACGGGTGGACCACTCTGGGCTTTCATAAACCCTGTGTCTCTGTGAGCAGCTTATTGGGCCGCTCGCCCGCCTCGTGGGATCCAGGTGACCGCAGTATGGATCTAAGCTGCACTCTTGGTATGTTTCTATTTGTTTATTCCAGTGCCCAAGGCCTCAGAACTTAGCATCACAATCATGATTTTTACATTGTTTGATGGAGAGTTAGAGAGCTGGGTTTTACTGACAATTTGGGTAGATGGTGGGTAGATGGATAAATCTTTTGAAATTCTTGGAATTTTCAACTTGCAGTGACAGCCCTGACTAAGGATGCTTCTACTTAAGAGTATTAAAGTTGACACTTTGGATGAAGAGAAAATTAAATGATTTTTGTAAATTAAACAGTGTTTCATTTTATTAAAACACGTCATTTATCCCAAAGTTCAACTTTTGTCTCTGCAATCTAATTTAACCTTTCAGTCTTTAAAGAGTATGTACTTGCTTCATTAATCTGCATGTTTCTAGTTCCTGCTGCTTTCTGTTTTCTCGTACTGTTGTGGAATTCCTGTCATTTCTTGCTTTTAGTCTAACATGATTGTCATCATTTCTGAAATCCATGTTTATACCGGTGCATGTCCTTATTGGCATGGCTGAAGACATCTCTCTAAAGTGAAAATCCACAGTCATCGTTGTGTGTCTGGGCTTTCAGCATGGAGCAGTCAAGGCAGGAGCTCATGCCAGGAAGGATGTCCTTCTCTTGTCTTTATCTTTCTTTCTTTGCTAGGCCTACTGGAAAAAGAAGCCCGGAGAAGGAGAATCATTCTGGACCAGAATCAAAAGAACACTCTTCGTGCGTGGTTTGAAAAGAATCCCAATCCAGATTTAGCTACAAGGGGACATCTGGCTAAGGAGTTGGGCATCTCAGAGTCTCAAATTATGGTAGGCATGAGGCCTCTCTGAGTCAAGTTTTCTTGGGTGATTTTTGGAGGTGGGCTCTATTTTGCTAAGTTTATCCCATATGCAATGGGAAGATAAAACAGAAACATTGCATATATTTTTTGGAGGAAATATTGGTTGAGCCTGCTCTGACAGGAAAGGATAGCCAGCTCGTGGTTTTCCCCTTATGAGTTAATGAAATCTTTATCTTGAAAATTACAGAATGTAAGAAATTGTGTCATCAACATAGTAAAGTAGAACCTTCCCTAGTGAGAGCATACGGAATAAAATTAACATCTGTGAAAAAATAGGGGAGTTAAGACCTCATGGAAATTGCTGGTTTGTGGGCTAGTACTTTTTTCTCCTTCATTATTTTCTTAATTCTTTATTAATTGTTTTATATTTTTGGTTTTTCGACACAAAGTTTGTCTGTGTAGCTTTGGAGCCTGTCCTGGAACTCACTCTGTAGACTAGGTTGACCTTGAACTCACAGAGATCCGCCTGCCTCTGTCTCCCTAGTTCTGGGACTAAAGGCGTGTGCCACCAATACCTGGCAATTCTTTATTAATTGTTTTATATTTTTGGTTTTTCGACACAAAGTTTGTCTGTGTAGCTTTGGAGCCTGTCCTGGAACTCACTCTGTAGACTAGGTTGACCTTGAACTCACAGAGATCCGCCTGCCTCTGTCTCCCTAGTTCTGGGACTAAAGGCGTGTGCCACCAATACCTGGCAATTCTTTATTAATTGTTTTAAATTAATTAATTTTTAAATCTGAATCATCCTCTCTGAATTCCTTCCAGTTTTTCTGGACATCTTCATTTTCCCTACCTACTTTCCTCTTATTTTCTTTTGTTCTTTCTTTTCTTTTTTTTTTTTTTTTAACTCCGAGACAGGGTTTCTCTGTGTAGCCCTGGCTGTCTTGGGAACTCGCTGTCCTGGTTGGCCTCAAACTTAAGTCTGCCTGTCTCTCTGCCTCTGAAGTGTCAGTGCTGGGATTAAAGGTGTGCCACCATAACTCTCTCTCTTCCTTCCTGGCTCTTCTGCCTCTTCTTCTTCCTCCTTTTATAATCGCAAATGTCATTTACATAGAAGCATTGTGTAAAATTCTATATGGCTTGTTTTAATAAAACTGTTGATGTGGTAGACAAAGATGAACTAGAGTAGTAACTTGTATAATTTTTATCAAGTGGATTGGTATCTAAACTTTTATAGGTAAGAAAATAAATCCAAGTTTTGTACTTGATGTGTAAATCATTTGGCATAATAACTTGAGTCTTTGGAAATCCTGGGAAGAGGAAATTTTCCTTATGTCTTGATAAACTATCCCGGTATGGAAGATGGTTGACACAAATAATGCTAATGAAATTGTTCCATGTTGGGCACATCTGGTGGCTGGGTGCCCGAGGGACTTGAACTGATGGAAAAGTTGAGAACCTTGTAGGGTATTGGTGGCTCCTGAGAACGTTTATATCTGCTCATTAGCTGGAAGCTTCCAGCTGTTCACACGGCTTTAATTTGAAAACTTATTTTGAATACGGAATCCGGAAAACATGGAAAGCCTTTGAGAAGAGAGGTTGGAATTGATGTTTTAGGATTGCAAGGCCTATTCCTAACCATTCACCTGATAATGGTTGTCATTAAGGTTGTAAATGCCAGAGAAAATACTCAGAAATAACTAAAAAAACACTCCTCCACATCCCTTGCCCCATAAAACCAGAAGCCCCACAGTTTCTGTTTCCTTGAGAGAACATGGGCAAATAAATGTAATTATAGCAGTAAATACAGTTTTAAAGCTTATCTCTGTTATATTTAAGTATGTGTATGTGTGTACAAGTGCCCAAAGAGGCCAGAGGTATCAGATAACCTGGAGCTGGAGTATTGGGCTGGGGGGATTGTGAGTCACCTGATGTGGGTGCTGGGACTTGAACTCAGGTCCTTGGGAAGAATGCTATGTGCCTGTGCTCTTAACTGCTGGGCCATCTCTCCAGCCTGTGGAAATAGTTTTAAAGCTGGATGTTGGCATCCCTAGGAGTTTCCTTATTTCTGGCTTCCCCTGGAGTGAAATAACGTTAAGTTATAACCAGAAACTAGTGTTAGCCCCACTGTTCTGTTGTCAGTTCTGCCTTCCTATTTAAGGGAATAATTTTAACAGATTAAGTCCATATATATACCTTTCTCTTGTGGACATGGTGTCAAGGACAGATGCCTCATCCGTTTGTTTAGTTGACATTTGGAGTGATCTGGGCTGAGTTGTGTCCTGTGTCTCCCTCTCAATTTCTTCCCCCCCCACGTAGACTTGGTTTCAAAAGCACAGAAAAATACGGAAACAAGCAGAGTTTGAATGTTGCCTTGAAGAAAGCCAAACCCAGGGACAGGATAAACCAAGAGGTAAGACCCACAAGCTCAAACAGAACCCCTCCATTGATTTCCTTGGGAGTATAAACCAACTGCGTGTTATGGAGAAATATCCTGTACAGAATGCTTAGACTAGGGACGATTATAGACAAAAATTTTGAAATTGTTTTTCAAGACAGGGTTTCTCTGTGTAATGGATCTGGCTGTCCTGGAACTCACTTTGTAGACTAAGCTGGTGTAGGGGTGAGCCCCATAATACTGTCTTTGGGCGTGAACAGTATTATGGGCTCACCCCTACAGGCTGGCTTTGAACTCTCTGAGAAATGCCTGCCTCTGCCACCCAGCATTAAAGGCATGTGCCACCACCTGCTTGCCGACTACAGACAATTATATTCTGGGCATGCTAGGGTCTGAGATCTAAACATTTCCTCACTGGGTGTGGTCGCTGTAATCCCAGCCTTGGGAGATGAAAGGAGAGGATCAAGAAAGTCCAAGGTCACCTCTGGTTACGTAGTTTGAATCTAGCCTGGGTTACAGGAATGGTCTCTTAGCAAGAAAAGCTCCCCTTTCCTTATTTCCATGCTGTTTAGTGATGCTGTCTCCTGCCACCTCTGGGATTTCACTTCAGGGACAAGACAGGCTAAAAAGTTCCTTGGTGGTAGGGGGTGGAGCATCTTCTAAGAGTAAAAGTGGTAAGAATCATATTGAAAATGTTGGTTTTGGTTTTTTTTTAACCCCCCCCCCAAGTCTGATTGCGAAAAATGACTTGCAAACCCTGTTGTGTGCATCTGCTTTTCATTAGTTAAAGAAGCCGGAAGGAGTAGGACACACTTCACAAAATCGCAGATTGATATTCTAATAGAAGCTTTCGAGAAGAATCGGTTCCCAGGGATTGCTACCAGGGAAAAACTGTCTCAACAAACAGGCATCCCAGAATCCAGAATTCATGTACGTTGCACAGGTTCCCTGCCTCTGGCAGCCTCTTTGTCCTTACTGCGAGCTGCTTCCCTCCTGAGCTGTTGTCCCCTCTGCTCTAGGTATGGCTTGTAGACACCAGGTGTTGCAAGCCACATCCTGCAGAAACAGTTGAATCAGACACGCAGAAGCATAGGAAATAAAAAATCAGCTAGCAGGGTGGGTGGTGGTGCACGCCTTTAATCCCAGCACTCAGGAAGCAGAAGCAGTTGGATCTCTGTGAGCTCTAGGCCAGCCTGGTCTACAAGTCAAGTTTGAGGACAGCTAAGACTGTTACACAGAGACACCCTGTCTTAAAAAGCCAGGAAGGAAGGAAGGAAGGAAGGAAGGAAGGAAGGAAGGAAGGAAGGAAGGAAGGAAGGAAGGAAGGAAGGAAGGGCTAGGTGAGACTGGGAAAGCTGGAAAGTCCCACTTGTTTTGAGAACATAGTCTTTGTTAGTGTTTCCAGTCCTCAGACACTGGACACACAGTGCCAGAGGATGAGAGTATTGTCCTGTGTACTGGGATGTTAATTAGCACCCAGATCTTCTAGGCATACCTAGCCCTCAGCTCGCCTCTTGCTGTACCCTGAGAAATCTAGAGCACTGTCTGACCACTTTGAGAATCCCTGTTCTTGCCTATCATGGAGCTCGATAAGCCTGCTTCCTAAACATTCCCTTAGATAATCCTATCAGCCTTGCGCTCTGGAAGTTCCGTGTACTTAGATGCTCCTTGGTGGGCAGACATTCACCCTGCTTTTGAGAACTTGTTTCCTGAATTAGCACTGGGGATCGGGAGGGGTGGATTCTAAATCTTCTACCTTTTCGACCATGGCGTTCTTTTACCCATGGCCATGTGTCATGACTTACTTAGTCTTGGTTGTCAACTTAATTAGATTGAGAAACACTGAAGATTAGCGAAGCCCATCTCCAGGTGTGTGGGTGAGGGGGGCGTTCCAAGAGCTCATTAGATCAGAAGAACTCTGAGCTAATCACGGCAAAGAATCTACTCGAAGTATGAATGGATTGTTGGGAGGTGGTAGAGATGTGGCATGTGGGGTCTAGTTGGGGAAAGTCAAGTACCAAGAACCTGCATTTGCAGGGTTTGGTCCTGGTCCCCTTGCCAGTCTGCTTAGCAGCAAACATAAGAAACAGGTGAAGTCACTTCTGCTATTCAGTACTCTCTTTTTTGTGTGTGTATGTGTTTTAGATATGGTTTCAGAACCGGAGAGCTCGGCACCCAGACCCCAAACAGGGCACTCAGACAACTGCTCAGCTGCCTCAGAACAGCCAGTGCCCTGCCCTGAAGGCTACTATTGGTCGACCTGCTCCTTCCAAAACTCTGACCGGCAGCTTGTCAGTTACACCGGCTCTTTCTCCACCCCACACATCACCTGGTCCTTTGGATCTCTCTATAGGCCATCAGAAGCAGCTGTCAAGGACCACAGCACCCCAGCCCTCCCAGGTTGTACAGGGGAGGGGTGATGGTCCGAATTTGTCGGTGTACACTGGACACTTATCACCGGTAATAACTCCAGGAGAGGAGGGCTTCCGCACTCGAGCTCCTTTAAGGACCCGAATCCAAGAAAGACGGCAAGATCCCAGGGAGAACAGTGGTTTGGCTGAACCGCCATTAGGCGATTCTACTCAGGCTCCAGTTGTCAATCACTGCTTTTGGGATCTGGACCAGAGAGACCTTGGCTTTCTGCAAAACTGGGATGAATGGTTCCAGTCGATGCTTGCTGAATGGATACCTGCCAAAGAATACTGGCCTGGTAAATCTGAGCCGCATCTGTGGCAGGTGCAGCTTCAGCAGCCTGCCGGCGTCTCGCATGTATCAGACAACACTCTACAGCAGTAGTTTAAGTCTCAGGCCTGTTCTGTTGATTCCCACGGAACGCGGGTTTTCAGGAAAGGGCCCCCGTCTTTCTGCGTCCAGGCCCACGTGTGGATGACTGTGCGAGGCTTGGAGAGATTCTCAGAAGATTTTCAGGTTTTCTCTCACAGAGGGAGAAGTTCGTCACTCAGATCCAGGAGACTGCCAGAGATCCTCATCCAGGACATCTGTCCTTGGGTGTGAAATCAGAGTGAAGAGTAGGCATCCTGAATTATGGGACTAGTTCAAGTCCGTAGACAGCACAGGCTGCTTGGACACACAAAAGAAGCAGTTATTTTTTATGTCTAATTTATTCTTGAGATCTGGTCTCACTTTTATTCAGGCTGGGCCTTGAGCTCCCATACTCAGGCCAGTCTCCTACCTCTGCCTCCGGAATAGCTCTGGCACAACAGGTACATGTCTCCATGTTCAGCTTGGTTTTAGTTTTAATTATGGTTTTAAAAAGTCTGTTTAAGAAAACTCTTTCATTTATTATCTGCTGAGTTTTAAATCTGAAGTGTCCTCCAGGAGCTCATACTCTATAGATGCTTGCCTCTCGGCTTATGGTGCTATTTTGAGTCTGTGGAGTTTTTAGGAGGTGGCTTCTGGCCAGAGACGTAGGTCAGGGGTGGGTCTTTGGAGGTTACCCTCGCCATGGGAACATTTATCGTGTGGCCCTGATGCATAGACCAACTCACTTCACCCTGCCTTTCTGTGACAAGGGGCTAAAATATTTTGAAAAGAACCCAAATAAATCATTCTTCTCAAGATGCTTCTAGTAGATGATTTGGTCACGGTGAGTTAAAAGCCACTAATATTTACTGGTTACCAGTCATTTGCTCAGTATGTGGTACAGGGGTGCTAACTATGTTATGGCTGGTCACTGGCCGTACACACCAATAACTTACATCTTGCAACCTGAAACTCTATACTCATTTGAGTCACCTGAACAACCATAACAAGGCTACAGACTGTGTGTCTCAGGTCACAGAAAATTTACATTTTCATGGCTGTAGAAGTCCTTTTGGCAGGTAGATGCCTGTGGTTCAGGGTTGGGGGGTGTGGAGGATGGGGGACAGACCTGAGTTCTCGGTCTTCGGAGCACATAACTTGTGCTCTGTGCACGATTGCATCTCTCTTTTAAGGGTCCTACACATGTGACCTCTCTTAATATTGATTACATACGTATTTAAAGATCTCATCTGTAGATACAATCCCTTTGCTATGAAGGCTTCAGCATACGCTTAGCTCCTGACACTACGGAACACTGCAACCTCCTATTTCTATTTTCCCCTTCCCTGGACCCTGGTAACCACAGTTATGCTGTGTGTGTGTGTGTGTGTGTGTGTGTGTGTGTGTGTGTGTGTGTGTGTGTTGTAGTGACAGTGGGGTGAGGGGTGGAGGCTAGAGGTTGCTGTCCAGTGTCTTCCTCTTTCTCCATTGTAATCTACATTTTCTTTTCAAAAGATTTTCTTTATTCTTTTAATGTGTACATGTATGTGTGTGTGCATATGAATGCATGAGAGAGAGAGATAGAAAAAGAGAGATAGAGATTGAGTGTGTGTGTAGGGGTTAGGGTCCTAAGAGAGCAGGTGCCTGGGGAGGCCTGGGGTATTAGATGCTTTGGAACTCGGGTTTCAGGCAGTTGTGGACTATCTGACAGGGCTCCTAGAACCAAACTTGAGTTCTCTGCAAGAGTAGTATTTGTTCCTACCCACTGAGCCATCTCTGCAGCCAATCCACCTTATTTTGTAACACAGGGTCTCTTGCTGGACTTGGATCTTACTGAGTTGAGATAGACTGGCCAGCTAGCCCATTGCTGATTGGGGTAGCCTGTCTGGCCAGCTAGCCCACTGTTGATTGGGATAGACCATCTGGCCAGCTATCTCATTGTTGATTGGGGGAATCTCCATGTTGATTTCCATAATGGTGAGACCAAGGTTTCCTTTCCCTTCCACATCCTTGCCAATATTTGATGGCTTTGTTTTTTACTTTCCTAAAGATTGATAATTTTACTTTTATTAATGTGACTGTGTCTGTGTGTGTATCCATTATATATGTGCATGTGGCTATAGAGGCAGGAGGAGGCACTGGGTCCCCTGGAGCTGGGGTTACAGGTGATTGTGTGCTGCCTGATGTGGGTGCTGGGAACCTAACTGTGGTTCTCTTGAAGAGCAGCAAGTGCTCTGAACTGCTGAGCTGTGGGTGGCTCAAGTCCTTTGCTCTTTTCCTCCCTCCCTCCCTTCCTTCCTTCCTTCCTTCCTTCCTTCCTTCCTTCCTTCCTTCCTTTCCCCCATTCCTCCCTCCCTCCCTCCCTCCCTCCCTCCCTTCCTTCCTTCCTTCCTTCCTTCCTTCCTTCCTTCCTTCCTTCCTTCCTTTCCCCCATTCCTCCCTCCCTCCCTCCCTCCCTCCCTCCCTCCCTCCCTCCCTCCCTCCCTTCCTTCCTTTCTGGTTTGGTTTTCTGAGACAGGGTTTCTCTGTGTAGCTCTGGCTGTCCTAGAACTTGCTCTGTAGACCAGACTGGCCTCCAACTCACAGGGATCCACCTGTCTCTGCCTTCAGAGTGCTGGGATTAAAGGTGTATGCCACCACTGCCCGGCATTGGTCTTCTTTTCCAAATGATCACCTCTGACTGAGCTGACTGAGAGGAGATGTGATCTCAACATGGTTTTGGCTTGTTTTTCCTTAGTAGCTAAGGGCACTTCCCATTTGTTAACTCTTGCTAATGTATCCTATTTCTAATGGCTAAGGATACTTTCCACTTGTTAACACTTGCTATTATGTCCCGTGCTTTAATTCTTGCTTATCTCTTATTTGTATCTTCAGCTATCTTTTCTCTGCTTCCTTCTTGCATCTGAGAGCTTCAACTCTTTTTTTGTTTTGTTTTGTTTCTTGAGAAAGGGTTTCTCTATGTAGCCCTGGCTGTTTTGGAGCTAGCTCTGCAGATGAAGCTGGCCTCAAAGTTAGATATCCGCCTGCCTCTGCCTCCTGAGTGCTGGGATTAAAGGCGTGTGCGGCCACAGCCTGGCCAAGCTTCAGATCTTATATTAAGGCCTTTGATAGGTGAAAGATAGGGATCTAGTTCCCATCTTCTGCATGTGGACATCCAGTCTCCATTCTTTAAGATTTTCTCCAATCTATATTTTTGACAACTTTGTGAAGAAGGTGATGACTGAAGCTGTGTGTGCTCACCCTGGGTCTTATAGTCCGTTTGTTTTTGCATCTATGTTTTTTAAAATTAGTTATTTTGTAGGTTACATATGGCTAAGCATGCACGTACCACAGATAACGACTTTTGGGGATTGTTCTCTCCCTCCACTACGTGTGTCTCGGAGATCAAACTCAGGTCGTCAGGTGTGGCAGCAAATACGCGTACCTGCTGAACAGTCTCCTGGGTCCTCTGTGTACTGTTATGCCTGTTCCACACTGGCTGTGTTATTCTGGTTCTGCAGTACCCTGCAGGCATGGATTGTAGCACCTCTCAGCATTGCTCTTTTGTTCAAGATTACCTTGGCTGTTTCTGACCTTCTGTATTTCCATGTGAACTTAAGTATCATTGTCCGTCTTTGTGAAGAAAGTCACTGGAATTCTGATGGAGTTTCAGTACTATGTCCTTTCAGTTATATGTCCACTTAAACAATATTAGTTTTCCCGGTCCATGAATGAGGCAGGATTTACCATCTTCTGGTATCTTTTTCAACTTCTGGTGTCTTTTTCAACTTAGTTTCTCTGTTTCCTAGTTTCATATAGAGGTCTTCAATGTCTTTGCTTAAGTTTGTAATTAGGTATTTTCATTGTATTTATTGTCTGTCTGTCTGTCTATCTATCGGTTTATCGAGACAGGTTTTTCTCTGTGTAATAGCCCTGGCTGTCCTAGAACTCATTTGTACACCAAGCTGGCCTTGAACTCACAGAGGTCTGCCTGCCTGTGGGAGTCTCTGCAAACACCAGGGCCAGCAGAGTAACAATCCACAGGAGGCAAGAAGGCAGTTCAGTCCAGCACAACTTAGTTAACTAGCATTGGCTCAAACTCCTAGAGTCTGACCCTGAGCAGTTTATTGTAGTCATATTAAAGTACAGTACAACTTTGGAAAAGCAGTTTTCTGGTGACAGTTATTACAGAAATGCCTAAGGCATGACTACAATGAAGCTGTTTTGCAAAGTACATGTGAACTCTGCTATAAGGATGGGTCCTATGAACTGAGAAACGATATACAAGATAAAGGTCTAGGGAGCAAGAGTCTGGGGTAAACATCATAGTCTGGGGGAGTTGAGTGTGGCCTGGCTGTACAGATCACCAGGCTGTTAACTTCATTCATTCCCAGCTTTCTGGGCAGAAACAGCATTGTTTCCATTGAAGAAACATATCTGCATATTTAACATTCCTGGTTTTCTGAGTGCTGATCTGTGAGCGCTGAAAGCGGGTAAACTAAATTCAAAGGGTTTACTCCTGACAACTTAAAAATGAAGGGACCAGACCCTCACTCAGCCTCCTGCCTTAGCAGCCATGACAGGCTACTGAAAAGACACATAGGCCTCTGACACAAAGGAACTCCAGACTCCCCCGCCCCTCCCCCCACCCCCCAGACTCCTAGATGCTAGGTTCCTGGGAACTGTTTGGCCACAAAAGAAACTCCAGGGGAGACCAAAACCTCCCCTGTAGTCTCCAGGACATAGTTCTGAAAACTATTGGTATCTACGTGCAACAGGCCACCTGCAGGTAACAAGACAATGCCATAGAAACCACAGAATGTTCTCTCTCAGCACTGACCAATGAAAATAATTGGCACACAGGTATTTCATGCCAAAATATGACTTTGAGGAATTCTTCTGATTGTTCCTAAATGTCAAGCAGTCAGAAACCAACCCGTACCTACTGATGTGATCCTGTAACTTTTGTCTTTAAAACCTAGCAGTAGACAGGGAACTTCACTCCCTCTGGGGGCTGCTGCGACACCTAGCCAGACAAGGCCCCTGTCGTGGTTGGATGAACAATCATTAAAACCTTGCTCTTGCAGTTTTGGTGGGTCTGACATCCTGGTGGTCTCTGGGGACTTTGCAACTTGGGCACAACAGATTTCAATTTACTATTTTGCTTTTAAAATCCACCCCAAACCTGTTTACATTGTTATTTTAAATTCTTTTTGTTACCTTGTACCAAAATACAAAGATAAAAGGTGATTGCTAGTAATTATAAATATGATGGAATCTACATGGCTTGGGTTCTCAGTGCCTAAAAGACCTGAAATAAGGAAGTCTTCAGGTTGATGTAAAAGATAAAGTTGCCTATTTTGCTAATGCTGTGAGTGCATCACTGAAATAATGCACAGTTTGACCAGGTGCCAGCAGGGAAAGCATTTACAGTCTCCGTTACAGACAGTTGACTGCACTGACACTTTACAGCAACCTCCTGCCAGCAACATGGCCATTCCTGGCTTTTCTCCTAGGCAGGCGCTTTCAACATGCTTTCCCAGCAGTTCATTTTTACTGGAATGTTTCAGTAGTACTGGATTCTTTTTTGTCCTTTTGTTTTTAAAGCAAGGAGACTCAACCGAAGGAATGCACTAAACCTTTTTTCCATAGCCCGTGTTTGAAAGAAAAATGGTCCCCCAAAGGGAGTGGGACTATTAGTCGGTGTGGCCTCGTTGGAGGAAGTGTGTCACTGTGGGGGTGGGCTTTGGGGCCTATGTTCATCTACTCCCAGCATCACAGACCACTTCCTGTTTCCTGAAAGATGTAGTACTCTCAGCTCCAGTATCAAGTCTCCCTGCACATTGCTATGTCCCACCATGATGATAATGGACAGAGTCTCTGAAATATAAGCCACCACAACTAAATATTTTCCTTCATAAGAGTTGCCATGGTCCAGGTGTCTCTTCATAGCCATAGAAACCTTAGCTAATGCATCCCGTCCGACGTTCTCTTTCACTGGACTCCAATCCCCAGGGCCTTCTGTTACACCCGTTCTGCATTTACAACCCTTCTGCAACATTTTCTTTTTCTCAAGTCAGGCCAGTTTTCATTCTCAGTCCTCCTCTGTCCTTCAGGCACTTATTTATATAAGAGGTCAGTTAGGATAGTCAATGGGTTGGTGGCGCACGCCTTCAATCCCAGCACTCGGGAGGCAGAGGCAGGCAGATCTCCGTGAGTTTGAGGTCAGCCTGGTCTACAGAGCGAGTTCCAGGACAGCCTCCAAAGCCACAGAGAAACCCTGTCTGGAAACCTTCCCCCCCTCAAAAAAAAAGATATTCAATGACTGAGAAATATCTAATAGAAGCTGATTGACTGCAATGACTTTAGTCCGTTGAGTTGTACAATCAGGGGCGGGTACTATCCTTTTTGTGGAGCTCGAGGTATTTGTAAAACACAAGCTCCTTGCCTTGTTAAGAGCTACCTGTAAAAGTATAAAATGCAAGCTGTACAGGATTTTTTTGTTTGTTTGTTTTTAGAGACAGGGTTTTTCTGTGGCTTTGGAGACTGTCCTGGAACTAGCTCTTGTAGATTAGGCTGGCCTCAAACTCACAGAGATCCGCCTGCCTCTGCCTGCCGAGTGCTGGGATTAAAAGCGTGTGCCACCACCACCACCCGGCTCTATAGAATTTTTTTAGATGAAATTTTAGGCAGTAGCTATGGAGTAGCACCAAGAAAAAAATATTAAAGGGGGGAACTTTTGGATAATGATTATCTATAGATCTTGAATACCATGCTAATGCAACCTGCCAGTTATTATCAGGGTGGAACAAATAAATCAATGTGTATTTTATACATTGCCGCAGTAATTTTTGTAGGCTCTTTAGCAGTAAGGGATTAATTCTATGAGGTATTTATTAATATGCTAATAACTTGCCCTGCTTCAGGTGTTTTATTTCTTATAGAAGTTTTAAAGACAAGATTTAGGTATTTACTATGCATATAGTGTTCCACTTGCATGTATCCCTGAAGGCCAGAAGAAGGCACCAGATCTCATTGCGGATGGTTGTAAGCCATATATATGGTTTCTGGGAATTGAACTCAGGACCACTGGAAAAGCAGCCAGTGTGCTTAACTTCTGAGCCATCTCTCCAACCCATATTTCTTTTTCTTTTTCTTTTTTTTTTTTTTTTTTTGGTTTTTCGAGACAGGGTTTCTCTGTGGCTTTGGAGGCTGTCCTGGAACTCGCTTGGTAGTCCAGGCTGGTCTCGAACTCACAGAGATCCGCCTGCCTCTGCCTCCCGAGTGCTGGGATTAAAGGCGTGCGCCACCAACGCCGGGCCAACCTATATTTCTTATAGAATTTAACTGACCCATCTTTACTAAGGTTAAAAGGTTCCATGCCATTTAACTCCACCCTGTCTAGGTTAAGATGAATACATGGTTTAAACCAACTAAAAAGACATTATAAAATTTCTTAGTCCAACTGAGCCCTCTGCCTAACCCTATATCTTTCTACTTTTGGGTTAAATAGGCAATGGTGGGTCTCCAAAATATTTGAATTAGGATATATAGTTGTATTCTGGTTAACAGAAACTGACTTAGAGATGCATGTGTAACTAATTATGCCTTTGCTAATTGTTCAACACCAGGCTTCTGGACAATTTTAAATAAATAACTATGTCTCTGATGAATATGGTATATTTGAAAAAAAAAGGCTTATAAATCCTAAGGCTGCAACGGTCTACTGAGATTGTCTTTACTAACTATTCAAAAACAGGCTTCTAGAAAATTTTAAATAAGTAACAACATACGTTTGATGAATAAGGTATGTGTCATAAGGTTACTATTGCTGTGATGAAACATCATGACCACAACAACTTGGGTTTGTTTGGCTACATTTTCCCATCACAATTCATGTTTAAAGGAAGTCAGGACAAGAACTCAAGCACAGCAGGAACCTGGAGGCGGGAGCTGATGCGGAGGCCATGGAGGGATGCTGCTTACTGGCTTGCTCCTCACAGTTTACTCAACCTGCTGTCTTATAGAACCCAGGGCCACCAGCCCAGGGATGGCCCCACCCACAATGGCTGGGCCCTCCAGCATCAATCACTGATTAAGCAACTGCCCCACAGTAGGATCTTATAGATGCGTTTTCTCAACTGAGGTTCCCGCCTTTCAGACAACTCCAGCTTGTGTCAAGTTCATGAGACTAGCCAGCACAGCGTGTTTAATAATTAAGGTTTATAGTTTCCTAAGGTCTACTCATGTTAACAGTAACTGACTTAAAGACAGATGCTTAGCTTCTTTGTTTCTGCCAACTTTGTTAATATTTGGATATCATTTGGAAAACTGAGTCAAGAAACCGTGACAGTCTGTAATGGTGCACTATGAAATGATCGAAAGAGTAAAGTTCCCAGTCTCTCTGTGGACTGTATTTATGATGAAAGTTTTATTTTTATGATAAAGGAGCTTCAATTAAATCTTCGATTCAAATATTTAGGGTTCACACAACATGGATGAAGCTGCAAAATGCTAGTCTTACATAAGCTACTAATTTGTTGTAATCTGCTGAAGATAATTACGACATGCAAGCTACTTCTCAGTCACTCTATAAATGGCCAAATTCTTTAATGTGCTCAGAACTGTGCTCTTAGTCATGCCAAGTACAAGTGTAATTCATTTACAAGGACAGACTTTACTTAGCCTCCTTTATATTTTTTCGATATTAAGTCTAAAACAAATAAAAACAAGTACAGTTTGTTTAACATCAGGTACACTTAATAGATAACGGTCCTCAAATCTTCAGAGCTCAGCTGAACGTGACATTTAAAGTGTTTAATGAAAAAGCTTCCCATGGTAGACAAAACTGCCACCTCCTAACTGCAACCCTAAGGTCTCCAAGCAAGATAAAGGGGCACTGATGACTCCACCTGGATTGTGGTAATGCTGACCACTGGACAAAGACCCCATGACCTTGCCTACCACCACGGCCCTGCTCAAACTGTGGACACTGTTGGGTTGACTGCTCTATCCTTGCCAAGGTGGGTCAGTTTTCTTAAGTACCTCCTGCACAGGAAAATCTCTGAGACCTCCTGGGTCTGGCAGCCAAAAGCTAATGCTGCCTTGTGTGGTGGGCAACACGATAACGCTGTCCTGTGTGACAGCCAGAAGGCCTATGACCTTTGTCTCCCCCACCTGCCCCAGGAAGCCATTGAGACCGTGAGAGCCTAGGGTAAGGGTCCTGTCCAGGTAGCCATAGGTCTCTGTCATTTTAACTGATACGGAAGCTGTGTGGATTATATTATACTTCCTGCTGGAATTCACCCTTCTCAGATCTCTGAGGGTGTTGGCAGTTAACTGTAGCTTTGACAGTTTAACGGTCACACTCAACCCTCTAAGGCTGCAGTTACCCACTCAGTTCATTCCAAATGTAAAATCAGGCCTCCCTTTTCCAGAGCCATTTATTAGGTCTGCTAAGAAAGGCAGGCAGGTACAGTTCACCTTGCTGACAGACTTCACGGTGAAAGAGAGACTCACAAACTAGGTTTCAATGTAACTTTTTGCTATTTCCTTTATTTAAGGACCTTGGTTCACAATGACGACTCTCGGGAATCAGCCACCCGTGTCTCATGGTAAGTGACTGGATGAAAAGAAAAGGTTTGAAGTGTGTGTAACTTGTGAGGTCCTAAGAAGGAAAGGCAAGTTGTAAAGGTCAAAGGAAGTGATTCAAGTTGTGTAAAAACTGAGAACTGTTTAAGGTTTCTCTCCCTCTCTATGCTGTCGCTATACTAAGACTTAAAATTTCCAATAGATTAATCTAGCCCAGGTAAAGCACTGCTACTGTTATCCTAGTCACAAGCTCACACATTGCAATTCCCCTTGGTTGTCTTCTAAGTATAGACTTAAAAGTGCTTTCCAACTGTGCTAAAAACACCACTGTTCAATCTATGTATTTAACCCTCTGGATACGTAGGAAAAGTGTTCAGGCTTTTAACTCAGAATAATATTTTTAGATTCTGAAGTTGTTGTTTTTTTTTTAATGACTCAAAGGCATAATTGTACTGCTTTTGTACCATGAAGATTTCAGTACAGAATACAAATAGTAGTAATGCTAATTAATATACATAACACTTTTATTTCTTTTTAAAACTTAAAAGTTCTTGCAAGCTTCAGGGAGTTGAGAGATTTAGATTCATCTCTAACAGGCCAAGCTGACCCCAGATAGGTAGGTACTCCTATTAATCAACAGTCTAAGTCTCCCATCTTGCCTATTCTTGGGGTAGGGGGTGGGATTTCTCTCTTTCCCCTGGTCTTGGGCTCTGTGCCTTATCAACTTCGAGGACCAAGGGCCTGGAAATTTTGAATGCATACCCAACATAAAAAACTTCCCCATACTCGAGAGGCAGAGGCAGGCGGATCTCTGTGTGTTCCAGACCAGCCTGGTCTATAACAGCTAGTTCCAGGACAGCCTCCAAAGCCACAGAAATAAACCTGTCCTCACAAAACAAAATACAAAACAAAACAAAAAAACCTTCCCCATAAGCTCCTTAACTCTACCTTCTGTCCCTAGTCTATATCTGTCCTGGCGGATTTCCCATCAACTACAGACCGCAGACTGCCCCAGAACCCACATGCCAGATTCCCCAGGGCAGCCTAAGCGTCAACAGCCCCAGGTGAACCTGCACATCCCTGTGCCCCTCTCTCCCTTCCTGACTTTGACCAACATCCCAGCCTTCCTGGGCCCCTGACAAAGATGTCACAATTTCATCTCAGAAGCAGTTACATCAACTAAAGGCTGGATGGAATGACTGATCCCAAGGAAACCCTGGACAAGTCTCATTCAGTACCTGTGGTTCCTCCCAGTACTTCTCACCCTGACCTCTACCCCAAAACATCTCCAGACCAGGGGCTGGGCTTCCCTTCCCCAGCTTCTGTTTTAGATAACTCAGCCATTTTCACTACATGCCCTCTTTGGTTCTCCTGGCCTCTTGGTTCCTGGCTGACTCTCTCTGGGCTCTCTTGATCGGCTTGCCTCCCCTTCCTCTCTCCACCCTCATGGCCCAGTCTAGGCTGCTGTCCATGTCCAGTGTGGACTCTCAGCTGCCTCTGGCTGTCCTCATCCTCATATCTGCAATAAAATCTTCTCCTCTCCTCAACCACACCTATCAGGGGTCACGCCTTCATTTTCATTCAGGAGGCAAGCATTTCTGCCCACTGAGCCTTTTCCCTAGCCCCTTTTGTTTTAATTTTCCCCCAAAACTTTTACTTCCTTGGTGACTTTCTTATCCAAGATTTGAACTGATGTCTAGATTCATCTGTCTAGTTGCACACTCTGTGTGGTGACTGATCATTAAAAAAGTAGTGACCGGGCGGTGGCAGTGCACGCTTTTGATCATGGCACTGGAGGAGGCAGAGGCTCTGAGTTGAAGGCCAGCCTGGTCCACAGAGTGAGTTCCAGGACAGCCTCCAAAAAGCCAGAGAAACCCTGCCTTGAACCATCCCCAACGCCCCCCCAAAAAAGTAGGCTTTTGAATTCTTTGCCTGTTATTTCAATGATTTTTTTTGCATGTTTGGCTGTCGAAAAGTTATAAGCATCTGCGGGAGGTATATCTGTTGTTCTTTTGCTTAAATTAGCGATCTCGATGGAATACGAACCAATAGATATATTAACCATGGAGTATATTGGGGGGGAGAGCGAGAGGAGGAGGAGGAGGAGAGAGAGTGAGAGAGAGAGTCAAAGGTCAAGAGAGCAAAGTGAGAGAAAGGGAGAGGAAGAGAGAGGGGAAGGAGGGGGAGGAGGAGGGAGGGATGGAGGGAGGGAGGGAGGGAGCTGGAGAGCAAGAGAACAAGCAAAGAGAAGAAGAGAGAGTAAGTGGGCGGGGTCTGCTTGCACCTTCTTGCAGATTGTACTCATAGACCCCTGGACCGACCAGGGTGTTGTGTCCAAGTTGCAAAGTCCCCAGAGACCACCAGGATGTCAGACCCACTAAAACTGCAAGAGCAAGGTTTTAATGATCGTTCATCCAACCACGGCAGGGGCCTTGTCTGGCTAGGTGTCGCAGCAGCCCCCAGAGGGAGTGAAGTTCCCTGTCTACTGCTAGGTTTTAAAGACAAAAGTTACAGGATCACATCAGTAGGTACGGGTTGGTTTCTGACTGCTTGACATTTAGGAACAATCAGAAGAATTCCTCAAAGTCATATTTTGGCATGAAATACCTGTGTGCCAATTACTTTCATTGGTCAGTGCTGAGAGGGAACATTCTGTGGTTTCTATGGCATTGTCTTGTTACCTGCAGGTGGCCTGTTGCACGTAGATACCAATAGTTTTCAGAACTATATCCTGAAGACCACAGGGGAGGTTTTGGTCTCCCCTGGCGTTTCTTTTGTGGCCAAACAGTTGCCAGGAACCTAGCATCTAGGAGGCTGGGTGGTGGTGGTGGTGGTGGTGGTGGTGGTGGTGGTGGTGGTCTGGAGTTTCTTTGTGTTCAGTTTTGACCCTATGCTCCGGGAGGCCAGAGGATCTGTAGTTTCCTTGTGTCTTTTCCATAGCCTGTCATGGTTGCTAAAGCAGGGGACTGAGTGAGGGTCTGTCCCCTTTATTTCTAAGTTATTAGAAGTGAAGCCCTTGAGTTTAGTTTACCCCTTTCACAGGGTACTTACTGCCTGAGTGCATTCTGCCAGGTAGCAGGAAGGGCAGATAATGTCTGAATCCTTACAATATCTTCTTGCTTATTTAATCACTTGATTTTTACATCCACAATTAGTGTGTCTGCTGGGATGAGGATTCCTCCAGCCTTAGGACAACTTCTGCTTAGTGGGTCACTCATTGTCTTCTGAGTTCTCGTTTCTCATGACTTCTCAAAGGACAGAAAGGAGACTGCTGCAAGAGGCACTTGTTAACAAGCCAGGTTTAGAGTGTAGGGAAGAAAAGCCCCAAAGAATTAAAACCGTGTATATCCCCAGTATGGATAGAAAGGAAACTAAGATCATTATAGAACAAACTAGGATTCTATTTTTAACAATGAAGAAAAATGAAAGTACTGAGTTAGCACTTTACAAAAGGAGGTGTTGGGAAAAGTAAATACACTAGAAAGGAAGGGAAAGGTATGGGTTGAAGGTTCTAGAAGCCACAGTGAGAGGAGAGCAGTGTAAACAAAAATGACCCGGGGGAGTGGGGAGGAGTGAGAGAGAAGAAGACAACAGGAGGGACGAGAGAGAGAGAGAGAGAGAGAGAGAGAGAGAGAGAGAGAGAGAGAGAGAGAGAGAGAGAGAGAGAGAGGAGAGGAGACACTTGTTTTGCCTCAGGCTTGTTTACTTAGGATATGGGGTGGGAGAACTTAGAGGTAGTAAGTAATTTTCTCTGAGTCCAAACAGGTCAGACCAGAAAGAGCCCTTTGCAGGCTGGGTCCTGCCTGATCCTTCCCTGATGTCCCAGCCCTGATGTCATGCCTCCGTAGATGTCAGGATCCTTGCATGTAGTTTCAGCAACAGTGCGGTGGGTGCCTGTGTCTCCACCAAAAGTCTCCTAGAAAGCCATCAAACCGAAGCACGGTGCTCAGTGGGGGGCGGGGACACATGTACCCCACCTGAATGCTAACTTGTCTGCACACATCCCAGTCTCTATTTAATTCACACACTGCAGAGTCTCAGTTCCTTCCTTTCCCCAGATGCCAGGTTGCAGGTCACAAATGGAGGTGGCCTCTGCTTTTCCCAGCAGTCAGCTAACACCATGCACACCTGCGACCCAGCGTCTGTTTGAGCCAGTTTTCTCTGCTCACACTCATTCCCAGAGTGTTTGCTTAGTTAGACAATGGAGAGGTTTAGAAATGTTTTTGTTGTTGTTTTTTTTTTTTTAAAGGAAAGGCAATGGCACATGCCTTTAATCCCAGCACCAGGGAGGCAGAGGCAGGTTGATCTCTGTGAGTTAGAGGTCAGCTTGGTCTACAGCATGAATTTCAGGGCACCAAAGCTACACAGAGAAATCCTGTGTGTGTGTGTGTGTGTGTGTGTATGTGTGTGTGTGTGTGTGTGTGTGTGTGGTTCCTTCTGGACCTGGAGAGATGGCACAGAGGCTTAGAGCACTGACTGCTCTTCAAGAGGTCCTGAGTTCAATTCCCAGCAACCACACGGTGGCTCACAACCATCTATAATGAGATCTGGTGCTCCCTTCTGGCCTGCAGGCAGAACATGGTATACATAATAAATGAATAATAATAAAAAAGCAAAGGCTTTTGCAGCACCAAAAAGTTTTGATGGTAAGACCTCTCTGAAGATGTCCCACATCACAGCACCAGTGAGGAAGCTGTGGCGTGCAGGGGCCTCCCTCGGGTCTGTTTAGTGCTCAGATCACAGATCTGTCTGCATTTTTGCAGCCTGCAAATTGTTCTGCGGAACTGCTCTGAGGCTCCCCTTTGTTCTTTGGCTCAAAGCCCCAGTGAGGGGAACGTTTGCCTTCTCCGTTATTGCCTAGAGTCTGATATTATGGTCTCTCCCTCCCTCTCGTCTTTCTACTTTGTTTCTCTGTAGTTCTGGATGTCCTGGAACTTGCTTTGTAGACCAGGCTGGTCTCAGACTCAGAAATGTACCTGCCTCTCCTCCCGAGTGCTGGGATTAAAAGCCTGTGCTGTCACCT